TAGTTGATGTATTTTGAAAAGAAGTGTGTTGACGAATTAGCAAATAAATATTTATCCCAACCAAATGTAACATCCATTAAACGGTATGATCTTAAATCGATGAAGGACGTTACACTAATTAAAGTTGATGGATGGTTGATTGATAATCGATAATCGAGCTAGGTCCGCACTTTAAAGTACAGTCCAGAGTAATTTGTTTTGTAAACTGACAGCCGGATGACCTTAAAACGATAAGACCTCGCGAGTATGAAACGCCTGGTTGATAGGTAATCGATAATCCGCCTGGGCCGCACTTTATAAATAAGGCAGTGACATTTACGACGCGTACTGGTTTATCGATTTATTGTTTTTGGCGGGAATTCGAATAGTATCCCTTACAGTAAACGTACAAACGTGGGGTAGGGCGTCCGTTACCTTAGGGCCCGAGATTCCCGAAATATGTACACGCCACCACGCCGAGGGGGGAGGGGTGGGGTCCCCGTATGTGCCTCCCGAGCTCAGGGAGGCTCACAGATGTCCCTCCCCATTGGAGCCCATGTTAGGGAGGGTACTATGAAAAATCGTGTCCCTCCCCATAGGACTCCATGTTAAAGGTGCGTCAGAACTCTCGTTTCTGTAACTACTGGCTATTTTCCTTATATGCACCCTGTAGAGGATCTTGGGTATTCTGTACCTGTGCGTTAAAAACAAGTCGATTTTGAATAATGGAGTCAAATACATTACCAATACAAGCTAATACATTTATACCTCTGTAGTTATCAGCTTTAAGTCTACTTCCTTGTTTAAAAAGCGGACTCAACATACCAATGCTCCAGTCCTGTGGATAATTTCCACTGTCAAATATTGCATTAAAAAGTGCCGTAAAATCTGGAATAAGAGCCTCACAATTACGAATTATGTTTGATGGGATGCCATCAATGCCGGCTGATTTATTAGAGTTTACTCTTTTAAAAGCATTATAAACCTCAATTTGACTAATTCTGTCATCTATGATATCATGGCAGAGATTTAAATTAGGGTCATTAGAATTAGAATTAATTGGAATGTAGTCTTGAATATAGTCATTCATCTTTTGGAGTGCCTCGTTATCAAAATAATCTAAGTTTGGGGGCTTTGCCAGATTTTGAAAAAAAGCTAATAGGTCCTCAGGGGGAACTGGTATATCTTTAATTACATTTCCTGGCAATGCATTAATAAGTTTCCAAAAATCAGTTGAACATTTTGATCTATTTTCTACTAGAAGTCCATGGTTGGACAGATAATATTTTCTTTTACTGAACATATTTTCATTTGTATAATTATCAGAAACATGGTTATATGAACATTTATCTATTATTTATATATGAATTAGCCACCTGGTGGTGAAACTTGTAAGATCAGACAGAATTTGAGAGGTAACCTCCTGTCTACTCGCAACTGGGTTATTGAAAAACAAAGATGGAAGCCAAGTTTGTTTTACTGTTTCTATCACAGTTTACTTGGAGGAACATGCTACAGCGTAGACACCTGTACATAGTGAGTCATTGACACGATAAGTAAGATAAGATAAAAATAGGAAATCCCTCTTCTATAATAAACGTCGCTTATCTGTGTTTTGTTCCCGTTTTGTTACGCTCTTATTTCAATAAGGTTCTGCTCCTCTCCAACGTGGCTCAAAGCTCGAAAGGAAGAGGTGCGATAATTGGCCTATGGTCAAAAGTAAATCATTCTTAGGTGTAATAGAATGTCATATAATTCTTTGGAAAATATTAAAGACTACACACAATATGACACAAATGGTTTATCTCATCAAATGTGCAAATATGAAATTTCCAATTGATTCAGGTCATACTTAAATTAAAAGACTACATACATTTTTTCCCTACATAATGGCTATAGAAAAATTCTCCAAAAACAACTTTTACATTTTGTAAAACCAAAGATTATATTATCATATTTCATTATTTAGTAAATTAGTAACATATTTGGATAAGATGTAGGGATTCGTAGGATGTAAATGGATTTTGATAAACATAAAATACTTCCTGGTTTTGAATCTCTGCCTCACACTTCATGATTGAATTATGACCCTAATATACATATACTGGCATATACATCAATACAGTGCTGAATATAGGTCAACAAGATCCTAGTGTGCATATAAATGTAATAATAAAGGCAGTAAACTTATTTTGAAAAATCAGATGAATTATTATTTTTTCATAATGGTCATAATAGATCATAATGGAGAGTGCACTACTTCCTTTTGCCTTTCGATTTTGCGTCTTTAAAAGACAGCTTTATCAACAATTTATTACTTTACTATGCTCTGACATTCACTTGATAATCCTACTTTACTGTCTTATTCCTGATGAAATATTCATCGACGAAATTACAAAATCAAAAATCGTACAGGTATCACACCGTGAGGAAAGTACATAAAAACAAGGTTCTATGTTGAGGGATTACGTCTCGTTTGGACAGACAAATATGCTCGAACTATAACTTAATTAAATAAGCTTCTTAAGACTCATAAGAGGCTCTGTTTGAATAATCCATTACAGGGAAGAAGAATGAATGGTAGAGGTAGCTGCTAGTGTTATTATTTATCCGAGGATGTTATCCACAGAACTCTGTCTACTTGCTTATAAAGGTAATTTTATCTCGATCGTTTTTCAATTTAATTTCCCAACTGTTTTTAAGTATCTTCCAAAATCAATAGACTTGAACGTAAAACCTCCTTTGTGAAAATATCAAATAACTCCTTTTCTCGAAAACAGTAAGACAAGTTCCAAATTGAAAATCTACTTGCTTCTTTTTCAATTTAAAAAGCAATTGATTCAATTACATTTTCAAGCTTCAGTAATAACAGAAAATAATTTTATCCAAGGCTAATGATTGTATAATTATATATAATTATGAATGAAAAATATGTCAGGGTTATTTAGGGTGAAGAAATACATCTATTACCCTAAATTAGCAGAATGAGTAATTTGCTGCTCGTTATTGTATTGTACCCTTTATTACCACAAATATATTGTGAATACATTTACAGTTTTTTTTACAATTAACATATTTACATATTACATTTGCACTAGCATAAATTACGCTTTGTGAACATTAAAAATACAGTCTTGGCTTTCAAAATCATTATTTCGTCATCATCTGATTTAAACGTTTGAAATATAATGTCGTCATCACCAATTCTAAATAGATTAAGAAGTGCAACTCTTTCCACATCTATGGAATTGCAGAAACGTAAAAAACGATTCAATGTTTCAATTTCACCAGTGTCACATATGTTACATTTCCTGTCACCCCATTTTTTATTTCCATTGAGTGTTTGCTTCATCAAAAGCTTTACCATCAATTTGAAATATTTAAGATTATTGGGATATTTAGAACTAAGTGCCCACCATCACGGGACCATTTAAGTGGCTGGGCGAAGCATTTAATACACTTACATACAAATGTGTTGCACTTTTATAGCACATTTAATCATAAAAGATGCATTTTGGCTTTGACGTAGCCCACCTAAAACTCATCTTGGATTTCCAAGGTATGGTGAAATCAAACTGGGAAACGTCGAGTATTCCTAAAACTAGTTTTCGCCATATTCCATTGGATGGGTATAGACACCTGTGTTAATCATATTAGTTGCAGTATTTAAAAGATTGAACCTGCTTAAAGTGTTCCACATTGTATGAAGTGGTGACGCAACACCAATGTTGCTATTGTATTGAAATTCAGTAGCTCGATAAACAAAGAGCTGTTTGTAAACATTCTTTACTGGTAGTGTCATCAACATGGGGAAGAACATCAATTTATCTAAGGCGATTTTATACTCTATATCCATCCAGCCCAATGGATCAGTTGAAAATACATTATCGGCGAATTTAGGAAGACATTGGATGCGTTTTCCAATCTGTCTATGAGCTGTTTTGGATTCGTTCAACATCGTTATTCAAATAAGAAATGATTGAACTTCCGTATAGCATTGTAGGGGTAGACAGCGTCCAATAAAGGCGTGATGCGGCGTTAGAGGATTGAGTCCACCACAAGTACTCCCCAGACCAAGTAGAAAGAAATATGTTATGTTATAATTTTTATTGTAGAAGATGTTGTATGGTGATTGATATTAGGGTCGAGAAATAGGTCAGACTGGATCTTAATTCTCGATATTATTGAGTGGCGACACAGAAATTACTAAACAAACTCTGGGTCCCTGAGTTTGTAACTATGATTTGCCATTTGTGATTCTACCAACCCTGAATGAACATCGTCGACTAGCCACACTGCCCTCTGATTGCGATAAATGATTTTCCATTTTTAATGCGATTTAGATCTTACTGACCTCAAATGGACCTTCCATACTGTTTTATTGAATGTAAATAGAATATAAAAGTTATTTTATCGGCAGAAAATACATCGTGGTTGTCACAACCGCCCGGTGACATATCGTTATAGTTTCTAACTTTGTGAACGGTGTCGACGGTCGGCGTCCGTAACAAATGCATTCGGCGTTTGAAATAAATGCGTTCGGCGGTCTGCTTATGTAACAAAGTGCAGCAAGTGGTAACATTTTGCATGTTAATGCCTTGTCTGAGTATGAATTTATTATTGAGAATGATTGAACAGTATACAGCATTGCTGATGTTCATACCCATATATACAGTATGTTTATTTTATCCTTGAACATTCTATAGTACTGTTAAATATGTGTCCATCTTGGATCTAAGTGGAATCATTGAATTATATCTCCCTAAACGGAATGCAAATGCATTCTTTTGACTTAAACATAGCATCGTCTAGTTTAGAACTAAACTCTGAGTTCATGACATGAGTTATCTAAAGAGTATCGACAATTTTGCATTATTTCAAAGGGTTCCAGCAATTATATGTGGGGGAGGGGGCTCAACAAAATTTAAGTCATTCATGAATGCCAATATTCCAGCATAGCTAAACAACTATACTTCATTCTTTATTTCTGGTAGATTAGAGCATCTGTTGGTCATGTTAATCCAATAAACCAAAAACATGTTTCGGAAACTGGAAACGGGAACACATGTTTAGTTTTTGCTCCGTCTGATGCAAACGTTTGATTGTGTTGTTTTGACTTCATGCTGTAACCTTTAACAGATCTAGGTGAAGCTAACTTTAGCCGCTTTAAAAAGTATAAGATCGTAAAATAGAAATCATTCTCAGATTGAAGATTTCAGGATGATGAAAACAGCAGTGAAAGTCGCATTTTGTTTTTCGTTTTGTTGTGTCGTTTTTTCAAGTGAGGTTCTAAAGGGTAATGCAGTGGAGGATGACGGGGTCAATGATCTGTACGATTATGGCCACGAGTCAGCCCCATTAAAGTACGACAATGACATTTCATCAGGGGACGATGATAAAGAACACATCAATGATGCATTAAATGCTATTGAAAGCTCAATGTCAAAAGAAGACGATGAACATTTTGAATATACAAGTAATGATAGCGAAATTCCTTTAGTGGGAAAAATACCTGGAGGAAAGAATATTGGAAAATTCACACCTATCCGAATGCCAACTGATTTTGAGAGTTATGATATCAACCCCACTGACGGCTTTGTAACGTTATTGGAGCTTGTAGCTGTGACTGGCGCAAAGGAAAATGTTCAATTGGCATTTAAAGATTCAGATATCGATGGTAAGAAATCCACAAATCATTTACAATTTTAGCTCATGAAAATGAAAACTGATATTATACATCACCTCAAAAAGGTTGGCAAATTTGACTTTCCGTTGAATTGGATGTTAACGCCTGGATATGCTTTGAATTTTTATCTGAATTGTAATTGATGCCAAAATGAATAATTGGATGGTGATCTTTTAAAACATAAACAGGCTTAAACTAACACAATCATGTCTCAAATCAAATGGATTGCATTGCCCAACCCTTGGAAGGGGGGGGGGTATATGGCAGTTCGCTAGTTGGTTGCTCATGTCTCTGTCTCATTGCCATGTGGTAAAATATTTCTCAGGTAAATCTTAAATAAACCGCAACAATCAGGTAATATCAATTTTCTCTTCTAGTGTTTTTACATGTTTAAAGATCTGTGATAATCAATGCATTATCAATGTAATGCCTCAAGAGATTTTTGGAAGAACGTATACAATATAACCCGTTTTGTTTTGTGCCACCTATTGACGAGCTCTGGGACAATTGCAATTCAAAAATCTAAATTGCTTTAAATAGTACCATTTTAGACGGAAATAGATATCGTTTTTACTCAGTAAAGAAAACAATACGCAGACAGACAGTTGATAAGATATGTCATGAAAACCCGCGAGAAATACTGAATTACAGATTTACACCTGATATTTGACTCTGTGGTTTCCAGGATGTGTTGCTGAAGATTGAAAACACACCGTACATCTGAAGAAAACTGTTCTTAGATGTCAATCATTAAGACGTCATAAAATCACGCCATCATTTTTATTTTAAACGGAGACTTGGACCACCCTGTAAATTTGATTTTTTATTCGGGCGAAAAAAAATTCTGAATTATCAAGAGGTATGTTCTCATAAGTATCTGAAACCATTTTCTCCAAGACATGCGATTTGTTTATCTGTTTATGCAATAGAGTAAGTTGGTTTGTGCCGCCATTTTGAATGAAAATACATTAATTTTTATTTTCATTATTTTAAATTAACGGTCATTTTCATCTATTTACTTCATCCACCATATTTGGTGTGTATAAATTATTTTATTTTCAATTATTTACATTTAACATTCTCCCTATAGTACTTTAAGCATTGTCCTGTAGCATTCCAAAACTATGGGATCCGATTTAGCAACCTTCCATATGATTTACAGGATGTCATTCCATGGGTTACAATGAATCTTAAACAATGGCAATTTCCCTGACAATATACATTCAACATGCCAGTTATGTTATTAAAATTGATATACCCTTTTGTTATTATTACTAGATTTATTTTCCCTCCATTGATTTGAGATAATATAATGATTACATACATTACTTTTCACAATGTATTTTCACTGTAATTTTGAATTTTGTAGATCATTCCTAACCAATATGCGTTTAGTTTTGCCATTTAATAAAGTTCGCTGTAGGCATTAGGTATGATAGCATAAAAGCTTTCCTTTTGCATGCTTTTAAAATTGGCGAGTCATTCTGTCACGGCTGATAAGGACCTAATTACGTTGGCATGACATCCGCTCGAAAACCAAGATAGGTAATGTAAGATATAGCAGTCTATACTGATCTGGTCTGACATTTCTAAGCAATGACGGCATGCCTTGATGGGAGATGAACCACAGCCACAAACGCCCCCCCCCCCCTTAACTGAATTATTGGCAAATATATTACACTAAACATACTTCAGGTGATGGCCGTCTGACCAGAGATGAGTTCCTTAAAGCCCCCATGACGTTACAAGGTTTCGTGGATTATGACATACAAGAGCTGATCAAAGTCGAGAATGAGATCATCAAAGATGAAAAAGTCCTTAAAAGGCTTGTCAAAGAATTGGAGGATGGGAGCAATGATACGGATACTGTTCATGAATTGAGAAAAGCATTAGAGGAACAAAGACAAAATGAAATTGAAATTGAAAAAGAGATTGGTAAAAAGCTGTACAATAATAAACTTAATTATTAAACTCTTTAATCAATATGAAAACCCAAGAAGAGATATTTTTAGGATAACTGTTCCATCTTCCTTGGTTAATACAGTGGCCTTAATAACATTACTTTTTATACTGTAGTGAATGCCTAAGTAACAATGGAACGATAACTGACAGGGACCACAGGAATTGAGCTAATGAATGAGTGGGCTGAAATACCATCTTAATTCTCAAGGTTTTAGTTGCTCCAACTTCAGCTGAAATGCTGAAATACTTGATGAATAACTGATTCGACTTTTGCATGTCTATAATTGCAAAATATGTTTTCTGTTAAAATGTCTGCTTTATTTTCCTATTCTCTGTCACTGATTGTAATTATGCAGCCATGAAGTAATAAGGCTTATAAGCTACAAAAGAACACACAGAATGCTGCACAGTGAGATAAGGGGATTTTTTCAATGACGTCAATTTATTTTTTGTATACGGAAAAAATTACATCCATCATAGTTTATTTCTTTAACGCCACCTTAAGCGAGTTCCGCCCGGAGCGAGCTCTACAAAAGAAATGGCCTAAAATTACCCTCTTCTTCAAATTATTTCACCAAGACAATGTCCCATGCCATCGAGCAAATATGGTTCAGAATTCTATCCGGGATACCCTACAGATGGGAGTTTTAGACCAGGGTGCATACTCACCAATGAGGCTGTATTGGACTTGGGGTGTTCAATAGGATGAAAGATGAACTGAGAGGTGTTCGGTATGCTTGCATGACAGAGCTCACTGCAGCTGCCCAGAGTGCCTTGCGCACTAAATTCCCTTGTTATTGTATGGCTCAATATGAAGAATGGGTGAAGTACTAGGTACAGTATGCATGCATCCAGTATAAACAGGAATATTTTGGGCATTCAATGAAGTGACATGTTTGGTAGGAACCTTCAATTTGAAAATACAATGTTTTATAGTGTGTATATGTGCAACTTATAATTCACAAGAGTTTAATTAAAATTGAACTTTTTTCGCGTCATAAATTGCCCCGCGTGACCAAAATACGGGTTACCATAGTAACCATAACTTTTGACCAAGCAGAACAAAGTAATTTATTTTTTGTTTTGTAATGAGTACATATTTTTTCTATGTTTTGTGAAAGTTTCAAGGAAAAACATTGAAAAACCAAAAAATGAGAATGATTTTGCATGAACCTGGTATGTAATTTGTATGTTGTTTTTTGTTGATTTACAACGCTTTCTTCGAACAATTTGTAATAAAAGTAATCGCATAACTGATTATCTCGAGAACGTGTTTTACATATAATTTGGGCATTCTGTGTCTTTTCGTGCAGTGTATTTTATGTAGACAAAAAATAATAAATGAAAATGATCCACCCGTTGTCTGAATGGGTTGCCGATCTATATAACCTAGGATGAGGTAAGAAATATTGCATAACTTACATGTACATTGTTTAAGACGAAACGAAACACCATACATGCATAAAGAAAAGCTTAAGGGTGATGGCAATGAGGTGGTAGACTACTGGGACAACTTGCAGCACTGCTTCGAAACCATATCCGTCTGGAGCATCTCTATGACACTGCAGCAATCTGTATTCTTGCTTATTTGTGGCATATGGCATTCCAACAGATGACACACTTTTCATCTAAAATACATTTATTTTGGAGCCAATCTATACAGTAGGGCATGTACCAATCCCGCGCAGTCGCTGAATGGGGTATGGTACCAACGAGGGGAATTATTTCTTGTCTCTCATTAATCATGCTTAGCTCTTAGACATTTTATACTTGTTTTGATTGGCCATAAATCGATAATGCATGCCGTCAAACGTGATTTTGCAACATCCAAAGTTAACGTATTGTCGGGTTAAAACATAAAAAGCAAATCTATTAATCAATCAAAAATACCAAAGTGCAATACCAGATGAAAAATATACTCATATCTTACACGCAAAACGTCTGTATATCTTGGATTGCTTTTGGCTTGGCTAATGTATCTGAAATAGACTAACGTTTTGCGTGTGAAATATGATTGTATTTTTCATATTTTATTGCATTGTGATTTTCTGATAGCTTTTTAGGTTTTATTGACGCATGGACCTACAGGCGCGTCTGATTCAATTAGACATCTTTCAAATGTCATTTCCTTGTTGCATGGGCCTTTATCTCTTGAGAATTTAAGGTCCATGCGTGTTGTATCATTCTCCGATCGCAGGGCTCCAAGATCCGGAATAATTTCGAAAGATGTAAATATAGTCTATTTTATTGTTTGTTGAATCGCCGATGTCTATAGTCTACTGTCTATGATGGACACACGTGCGTAATGTGCGTAGTGCGTAATGGTCGCAGTGTGTAATGACAACGTTAATATTCTCCGTTGGAAAGAATATTTCAGAATTTAACTTCTATTTTTGCTATACCAACGAATGAAGTTAGGCCGATAGCATTCCGTCCGTTGTGGTCACAGTTCCACTTTGTCTCACAAAAATTGAACGCTGCTCTAAGACTGAGTCAAAATTTTGATTAAAACAATGCTAAGTTACTCTTGGGTACCTGCTTTTTAAAATGTGGAATCTATTCTTTCAAGAACTTCCAAACGATTTAGCTCCATTGAAAAATCCAGGAAGAATCCGTAATATTGAGAGTTATTCCTAAATTAGAGGGTTTTCATAATTGGATAGAAAAACACATTCTCATTCGAAAGAACATCCTTTTTTATTTAAATGATTTCAAAACGATAATTAGCAATTACAAATATAGCCTAATTATAAAATATGCACCTTTGATGTTTATTCCTGGTTTTAAGATTGGAAATCAACATCATCTGAACTGTAACAACGGCTGTTCATCTATTTAATATCTGAGGTCATCTAAGATAAAACCAATGAATACTATTCCACTACTATGATAGATTTGACATTTGAGCATGAATGAAATGCTATTTAGTACCCTGCGTGCAGAGTCTAGTTAAACTACAGAAGAAGACGAAGCTCTTTTTAAGAAGTGAAGTCAAACGAATGCAAAGGGTAGCTATTTAGCGTAGTATTCGTAGTATTGTGTTACAGAATTACGAGACAGTAAAAGCGTTTTCAATCAATGTAATATAATCACCAATGTTGATTCCACTGTGACACTCGTCATAAATATCCATGGACATGTGTATCGGAGCACGACGAAGTGTGTCTATTTATTTACGCTTCAAAAATGTCTTCTTTGTGAAGCACATCCATTTACGTGATCTTTATGATTGTAAAGCCAAGCTTGGATGGCTATGACAAGCCTCTTCTTTTACATAACATACTTTTGAAGGCATTCCTAAAACCTCTGTTTAAAAATGGATATAATATAGGATTTACAGTCGAATTTAACCAAAGCATCCAGAAGGCAATATCCGCCAATACAGGATTCACACAAGTTGGACAAATTGCCGAGATCAAAGCGGAGATTTCATATGGTCCCCAACAAATTGCAAAAACCACAACTAAAATTGCAACATTTATCGCTGCTTTACGGTCCTTGTGGTAACTGTTCTTTGGCTGTGCTTGGGGTACAGTTCCTGTGGTTTGTTTGACCTCCCCTTTCTTTTCTCCTCCCGCAACGCTTGCTCCGTCGTCTGTGGAATTAGCAGTTGTGCTAACTGTGTCATTGGAAACTGGGACAACCTTTCCTGTACGAACAAGTACACCACGAGAACGTTTCCTTATCTCCCAGTAAATGAGGAAATTAAGTATGCACATCACAAAAAATGGGACGATAAACTCGACAGCAGACCCAAACAACAGAAAGTAAATATTATCGTAAAACGGTATAAAGCATTCCATCTCCGGAATGATACGCGTTCCCGTTCCGACCTCCCAAAAGAGGATGGCGATGCCATACGTGAGGAACCCCACCAGCCACGGGAGAATCATGCTGACGATGGTGAGCGTTGCATTCTGTGACGCCTTATAAGCAAGTGCGTTCGACACGATGCGGTATCTGTCCAAGCTTATAAGGACGATACCAATGACAGACGCCGCAGGTGTAATGTAGTCCATCAAGAGCCAAACCTTACACAAGCCTTGACCAAACGGCCAATGTTGTAGCAACAAATATGGAATATACATTGGAATGTTTATGGCTCCTACAACCAAGTCACATGCCGCTAAATTAGCTATAAGATAATTGCTATATGTCCTCAGTTTTCTCTCATATTTCATGGCCACGAGAACCAATATGTTTCCCAGACACGTAATAATTACAACTAGGCTTATCAAAATCCCTAAAACGATTGTCACTGGTAAGGAAAACCTTAACGTATATCCCGAATCGGATGATGTATCATTGGTTGACGCCATTGTTCTACTTTACGTTCACCGGGAATATATAGAAATTAATGCATTTGTGTACTTCTGTGTTGTTTCCAATTTGAGTCAAATATTCATTAACCGTTCAAGTGCTACGAGCGTTTCAACGTTTTGACGACGGGCAATCTAAATTTGTTGGATAAACTTTGCCTCTTAAAAACATGTAATAAAATATTTGTTTGTGGTGTTGTCATATGAACAATCGATTCTTGTTTGTTTGTTTGTTCCATTTCTTTCTTATTCCTTTGTAAGATTGCTGCCATCAATCTTACCAAATACGGAACATTTAATGGTGAAATTTGTTGACCGTCATATTTTAGTTTAATATTTGATATTTTTCACTCTTAATATATCATTAAATGTATCATCTCTATAGCGGCGTGCAGATACAAATCCAAGTATTAACCCTGTGAATTATATCAATATATTTTCAATTAAAATGAAATAACAGCCCTGTTATATTACTGTAAGTGTGTATACACATCGTCTATTAAATCATTTTCCATTGTATTAAAAGTGTCCAGACAGGTACCAATAGCACGGTTACTGTTCCATGAGATTGCATCTGACACGAGATGAAGTCGATCTGCTCTCAACGCTACAAGACAATGGCGATTTGTGCTGATATCCCAACAGCGTATCTGTATCTAGAATGAAGCAGTGACGCCCCTTGTGCAATTCGCGAAATTCTGTTTATATTTCGTATCAAAGTACTAGTATATACCGGTAATTGATATTGATGGCTTCGAAATGAAGGCCTAAGATAACTTGACAACATAGTCTTTATATCAGGCAAGGTTTATAAGTTAATGATGTTACAGTACATAATCAAGCAGAAAATGTCGATGTCACCTACTTAGCTTTTTTTACTCACAGCTAGAAACACTTTTCATTATATTTAATTTCATATTCATATTGCGATAGATAAGGGTTATGTACTGGGAGGTTTTGGATATGGGGTTTATCCAGAGGGAGATATGCATATCTACCTGAGGGACCGTAGGGACCGAAGGTAGATGTGCATATCTCACGAGGGATGAACCCAATATCCAAACCGACCGTACATAACTGCTTTATCCTATACCAAGTAATTTTCTTTCAATTTCTTTTTATTGTTTCAATTTCTTCACATTTTTCTAATTTTTTTTCAATTTTTTCACATTTTTAAAAAAAAAATTCAATTTTTTATTTTTTTCAATTTTTTCACAATTTTTATTTTTTTCATTTTTTCTTATCTTTTTTTCGAAGCGGGAAGATATGCCCTGGAGCGGGAGATATGTCGGGAGATATGGAGGTTCAGGATATGGAAACCTCAAAATCATGATAAGGGATATATCTTACCAACTTATCTCCCTAAAACTCTACTTGGCATAGGATAAAGGACCTTAAGAGGACATAACGACACGACAGAATATTTATTTTGCACAAAATGAAAATCACAGGTAACCGAAAAATTCAATTTGAGTGTGTTCCCTCAGATACACGGCGGATCTAGCTTTCGAGTAAGCCTAAAACGGAGTCAGTGATCCTCACATTTTTACTTGATTATTACCATGGGCTTTCAACTCTCATTGAAAGCCCATGTTATTACGCATCATTATGTAACGAGTTTTAATAAGCAAAGTATTGTCATTTTAATCGTTAATTTCATTTTGTCTCTTTTGTGTAAAAACTACCTGAATAAATGCATCACATCCGATACTCAACTTTTATCTGAAATAAATTCAAAAAGGTCTTACTAACACTCTTTGAATAGGCAGGAGGACATATGACGAACCAAATCACAGCCCAGTGTAGCCAGTAAATGTAAATAACAACTGAACAATTTGGTCACACATTTACAATATTTGGTATGCTATCAAATAAAAACTTCCAATTGCCAAAGGAGGAGGGAAAGTATCGCAACAGATTTCGGACAGTCATATATTGGATTTTGGCTATTTTCTAAAGATTTAAACAGGTGGATATGTTAGACCTCCAGGTAAAGCACTCCTACAGATGATAAAATAATTCCGACTTTGAGACAGGGAAGATGCAAACAACCCACCCACATGTTTTTCTGAAATGTTGTCCTGATTTTCAACCCCTTCCACCCCTGCTTTTTTAATTTTTCTTGCATCAATATGTTGTGTTTTGACACACAGTTACCTAACTTAAAGGAATAAGTTATCAAAATTTACTTTTCTTTATTCTCCTTTATTTTCGGGTTCACCCTGGTGTCTTGTTAATAACACTCTTGTAATTACAATGCGAAGTTGATAAGCAGATATAAAAAAAATTATGTGTGGATGGGGGGGGGGTTCGAACCAACAAAAAACTGGCTACGGCGATGGGATCAGGGCCACTCGTCGAATGAGCACGAAGAGTCGCTTGGCAATCTTTGACTACCTTTGCTAGGATACATATCAGGACTGGTTTTTATTGAGTTTGAGATCATGGACCCATCAGCAGATTGATTCTATAAACATGTTTAGATAGGTTAAACAATAGGTTAAACAATAGCTGTAGTAACTTCCTTCAAAAGGTTGATCATTGTTTAATATGACGATAACCTTATTGATTGATCCATTAAAAATGTAAAGCTATACGGTATTGAACAAGAAACGGCGTCTCACACTCAAAACAAACAGACTTTCAGACTGAAATACATGTAGGAAGGAAGCCAAGGACTTTGTGGATGGCGTTTCGATAGTCAATAGATTCAATACTGTTATCAGCTTATTGTCGTTGTTGATTCCGATAGCATCTCTTTCATAAAAGCCAGTATCGGGATTTGGATTGGAGAACAATGCTTCACCATGGTGTGTTTAAGCTCTTTCTACAGATGTTGAGGTGTTAAGCAATTCTTCGCGCTTCCGTCTTTTTATCATTTACTGTAACATATTATTATTGATGCCAGACCCTTTGGCGCTCCTTTCGTGTCAAATGATTCCCTAGCTATAATGAGACATGGACTGCTACTTTACTTAGCTCTGGAGATGTTTTTATTAGCATCCTTCTGGCATAAGGAGTTTGTTGATCCAGTAATATAGCAATGTAAGTCACACAATTAATTAAACATGGTGGATTTAACAAATAAGTGACTTTCATATTTCTGCAGGTTGTAGGAAATTAAGGATATGCTGCTCTATTCATGTGTATCTTTGATCATAAGGAAGCTTATCATAATTATGGAGACTTTAATTACCTTATCAATCCGACGTGGAAATTGTTTTTCACCAAAAATTGCATGCATACTTATTCAAAATAGCTTCATTATTTCTGTATATCTAGATCGAATATGAATATAGGTCTGCTGGAAGGTTGGATCAAACGATCCTAGAAATAGTTTTGCTTATATTATACATGAAGTCCAATGGAAAGAAGTAACACTAAGAAATCTGGGTCACTAGTATCAGGTGGTCCAAATGAAGCATTAAATGTCTGTGGCTGTCAGAATGGTTCAATGACACTTCTGGAGGATTTTTGTCTTATTGAATTAGATTTGAATACATCCGAGTACTTCTTATATCCAGTGTAATTGAATGTATGTAAAGGATCTCGATTGGGTTGAAAACATTATGCCTCCTTTAAGGGACTTGTGTATCAGTGCATTGAATTGATTTGGATAAGTGGTGTTTGTTGAATATAGAAGGCCTGTTTGTGGTTGGGATAGAGAAGGCCTGTTTGTGGTTGGGATATAGAAGGCATGTCTGTAGTTGGGATAGAGAAGGCCTGTTTGTGGTTGGGATAGAGAAGGCCTGTTTGTGGTTGGGATAGAGAAGGCCTGTTTGTAGTTGGGATATAGAAGGCCTGTCTGTAGTTGGGATAGAGAAGGCCTGTTTGTGGTTGGGATATAGAAGGCCTGTCTGTAGTTGGGATAGAGAAGGCCTGTTTGTGGTTGGGATATAGAAGGCCTGTCTGTAGTTGGAATATAGAAGGCCTGTTGGTAGTTGGAATATAGAAGGCATGTCTGTGTGTAGTTGGGATAGAGAAGGCCTGTTTGTAGTTGGGATATAGAAGGTCTGTTTGTAGTTAGGATATAGAAGGCATGTGTGTAGTTGGGATATAGAAGGCCTGTGTGTAGTTGGGATATAGAAGGCCTGTTTGTAGTTGGGATAGAGAAGGCCTGTGTGTAGTTGGGATATAGAGTGTCTGTTGGTAGTTGGAATATAGAAGGCATGTCTGTAGTTGGGATAGAGAAGGCCTGTGTGTAGTTGGGATATAGAAGGCCTGTTGGTGGTTGGGATATAGAAGGCCTGTTTGAAGTTGGAATATTGAAGGCCTGTTCCAAGTTGGAATATAGAAGGCATATCTGTAGTTGGGATATAGAAGGCCTGTGTGTAGTTGGGATAGAGAAGGCCTGTTTGTGGTTGGGATATAGAAGGCCTGTTTGTAGTTTGGATATAGAAGGCCTGTTTGTAGTTGGGATATAGAAGGCCTGTTTGTGGTTGGGATATAGAAGGCCTGTTTGTGGTTGGGATATACAAGGCCTGTTTGTGGTTGGGATATAGAAAGCTTATGTTTAGTTGAGATATACAAGGACTGTTTGTGGTTGGGATATAGAAGGCCTGTTTGTGGTTGGGATATATAAGGCCTGTTTGTGGTTGGGATATAGAAGGTATGTCTGTAGTTGGGATAGAGAAGGCCAGTTTGAAGTTGGGATAGAGAAGGCCTGTTTGTGGTTGGGATATAGAAGGTATGTCTGTAGTTGGGATAGAGAAGGCCTGTTTGTGGTTGGGATATATAAGGCCTGTTTGTGGTTGGGATATATAAGGCCTGTTTGTGGTTGGGACATAGAAGGCCTGTTTGTAGTTGGGATATAGAAGGCCTGTTTGTAGTTGGGATATGGAAGGCCTGTTTGTACTTGGGATATAGAAGGCATGTCTGTAGTTGGGATAGAGAAGGCCAGTTTGAAGTTGGAATATCGAAGGCCTGTTCCAAGTTGGAATATAGAAGGCATATCTGTAGTTGGGATAGAGAAGGCCTGTGTGTAGTTGGGATAGAGAAGGCCTGTTTGTGGTTGGGATATAGAAGGTATGTCTGTAGTTGGGATAGAGAAGGCCTGTTTGTGGTTGGGATATATAAGGCCTGTTTGTGGTTGGGATATATAAGGCCTGTTTGTGGTTGGGACATAGAAGGCCTGTTTGTAGTTGGGATATTGAAGGCCTGTTTGTAGTTGGGATATGGAAGGCCTGTTTGTACTTGGGATATAGAAGGCATGTCTGTAGTTGGGATAGAGAAGGCCAGTTTGTGGTTGGGATATAGAAGGCCTGTTTGTGGTTGGGATATAGAAGGGCTGTTTGAAGTTGGAATATTGAAGGCCTGTTCCAAGTTGGGATATAGAAGGCCTCTTTGTAGTTGGGATATGGAAAGCCTGTTTGCAGTTCAGCTCATTTTTGGATAAGAGACTAGAGGTGAAACATTTCCTTTAATTCACAACACAAAGGATCCGTACCCATTAGTGTACCTATAAGGACTTAGAAATTTTTCGAAAATGGTAAATTGGAATTCCAGTATTATTCTTATATAATATGAATCATTAAGAAGTATATTTTCAACAAATAACAAAAATAATATTTAGAATATGGTAAAAAGTTGTTTTTTACAGTGATTCTTAACACATGTCATTCTGACTCTTAAAATGAGTAATTTTCACATATTTTCACAAAACTTTGAATAAAATCTTGATTTTTGAAGATACACTTAAATTGACTTGTCAGTATAAAACTACATTGTGTCTGTGCATAACAACCTTCACTAAGCAGATCAACCATGCATAGATACTTTGTAATCCTATTGTTTTGAAAGGCACCCTATTGTGTTCTTGTTTTTAAGAATGGATGACCTCCTACAGTCACTGACAGATTGAGGTGCTTCCGCAGGTCAGACCCCCTCTGATTTCACCTTTATTGTTTAGTATTGACACTATTGCATACAGTAGTTCAAACATGAAATGAGAGAGGGTCCTGGCTGCGGAAGATATACAATGTGAAAGTATAGCAACAAATTTAGTTTAAAAAAATAGGCCATATTGGATCTGCCAGACACCAAGGCAACAAACTATCAGACAAGTATCAAATGGGTCAATTTACTTTTGATTTATCAGTCATGCATGCCTCTGAAGGGGATACGTTGCAGAGGGACTGAGTTGATATCCATTTAGTCATTAAAGGGACACTGTTTGTAAGGTAGTTCTCATGCTAATGAACACTAAAATGTTTTAAACAAAGAATCAAATGGGTCAATCTTCTTTTAATTCATCAGTCATGTCTATCTCTTGAGATGATATGTTGAAGAGACACTGAATTAAAGGGACACTCCTTGTAAGGTAGTTCTCACCCAAAGAAACAAATAGGCCAATCTATCTTTGATCGATCATTCATGCATGCCCCTGAAGATGATATATTGCAGAGAAACTGAGTCATTATCCATTCAGCCATTTAAAGGGACATTGCTTGGAAGATAGTTCTCATCCTAATGAACACTAAACTATTTTTAACAAAGAATCAAAGGGTTGATATACTTTTGATTCATCAGTCATCCCTGCCCCTGAATGTAATATATTGCTGAGGGACTGAGTCAATATCCATTTACCCATTTAAAGAGACACTGCTTGTAAGGTTATTCTCAACTAATGGGTCAATCTATTTTTGATTCTTCATTCAATTGCCTACCCCTGAAGATGATATATTGCTGAGGGACAAAATCAATATCCATGAAGCTGTTTAAAGGGACACTGTGTGCAAGGTAGTTCTCACCAAAAGAAACAAAAGGGTCAATTTATTTTTTAAGCTTGTCCCAAAAGATGATATATTGCTGAAAGACGGAATCAATATCCATTAACCATTAAAGGGACACTGCTTGTAAGATAGTTCTCATCCTAAGTCAGCAAACTAAAATATTTTACTTCATAATAATTATATGTTATTCAATGGATAGATTAAAATACCTCCACTTGTTTGATAGCAAAACAATGGGTTTCAAACTCTCCTACATGCACCTTTTCAATTTTAACAAGCAACCATTTGACTTTATACCTTTAGCTTCAATTGAATTATTCTTTGAAAATGCCAAATAAATATATCATATATTGGAAAGTCACAACTAGATTTTTAATATTTGAGTTGAATACCTGGGTTTTGTGTTTTCAATATGTTGCCCTTTGTGTCCTACCTTTGATAATGATGTGAAATATGTCCTCTAAATTGAATATCCTAGGTTAAACCTACTGCATACCAACTGAAGTGATACTTTTGCTGAGATTCAAGATTAAGATTCTTAGATATATATTCTTATATTTTAGGGGTTGTTTTATGATTTGTGTTTTCAATATGTTGCCCTTGTGTCCTACCTTAATGAAATTTTGATATATCAATTGATTGAATGGTCAATATACTTAAAATTGTCATGAGTGAAGACTAACATACCCCTAACATGATATTTAGGATGATTTGCATCGGTATCAAGTTTCTTATACCTTTAGTCAACAACCTCTTGAAAGAGAATTGCTAAAATGAGATAAAGTTGAAAACAACAAATCCCTAATAGGGAAAACTATGCTATCCATTGTTTTAACCTGTCTCAACACTTCCAACTCCACTGGGTGATTCCGTAAGTGAGCCTAAAATCACCAAAAGTTTGCTTTAAAAAGAACATTTCTCATATTTTTACCTCATTTATTCTAGATCCTTTAAAATTGCCAGATTTCTGTCAAAATCTAGTTATCATTTTTTTGTTCGCTGTCTAGGTCCCACCTTAATAGTATTGCAAGACTTCGAAGATGTTATACCTTTAATCTTTTCCTCTTTTATATTTTCTGTCATGTGTGATCTTTGCCATCATTATTTCATTTATCTTCATTTTTGTAATTTGTCATAATTTGTGTAATAACTAATAAACAAATGATTCAGTTTAAAATAATCTATAAGGAGAGTTCTCATATTTTTCAACCTCAATTATACAAGATTTTACTTCACTATTCCTTTTTCAAAGCAAACTCCTTTAATATCATAAAGACCATCTTTCATTTATCTTCATTATTTTGTAATTTGTCATTTGTCATTGTAAATTGTAACCACCATATTATTCTATATAGAAAGCAAATCACAACATAATAAAGGGCATGTATTTCATCTAATTGGTTTTATTATGCTTCCTAGTACCATAATGTCAAACAAGTACACGCATTTTGCAAATGATTTTCAATATACAATTTATAGTTCAAGTGCTGGTACCGTAATAATTCTAAGCTATTTCATGATCAGAATTTTCTACATTGGCTTCCAACTTTTTATTATTGCTTTAATTCTGTGTGATACTCCAAAAATCCACCTCTGACAGGCATATATATTGTAATAGCTGGCATTGTTTAACATGCGAAATTAATTATTAAGATTCTATTTAATTTAGTCCACTCTTTATTGAAATCAATTTATACTTTGCTTCATTGAGAGTTTGTGTCATGACAGGAATCATTTGTAACACATTAATGATCAGAATAGCCTGGTATGATTTTTGTCATGATTATCCATACTATGTCTAACTTTTTCACAAATAACAATATCAATTATCAAGTCCTATATGAGAATATTTGTGGCGTGTGTGATTAACTCAATATAAATTCAGTTTTTATCCCTTAACAATATTCATTATTACAGTTAGGCTAGTATAAGGTCACCTAAGGTGTTTCACCCTCTAGCGTGCACTTAGCTAGAGTGCCTAGAGTAACTAGAGATGCCTGTAAATAGGTTTAACTAAATGATGCTTCAATCCAATTCATCTTCATGAATGTCAATCCAAGATGCAAGTTTCTACAATATTATGTATCATCTACAAAATCTGTCTATCCAGTGTAGCCTAGAGCCGAGGACAAAAGGGAGACTCCACGCTCATAGAAGCTGTGATCTTTTCCAGAGCCCTCACCAACGGTCTCAAAGTCTACGGTGAATAAAAGCTGAGCCCTGGTGGAGTTCAGATACACGGGAAGAGTAACGATACTGTCTGCCTTCTGAACCTTATCAAGCCTGAAATAAGAAAGAATACAGTTTACTTTAATTACCTATTTTATTTTGTTGGCATATTCTCGCGAAAAGGGAAGAAAAAACATATCATTCATTTTCATTACAACTAACATCATACTCGTACGAAATCCCATTATATTATAGGAACAATTGACGTTCAAAGAACATAAATCTGTAGGAGAATTTTATCACATAAATCTAAGATAATAGGACCATGGCTGATAGTTAGGATTCGTAAAGTTAATTAACCAAACAAAAAATAACTCCAATCAATCAATCAACAACATAATCCACTGGCCATTCAATCATTAATCGGTGAACAAACTAATCAATCAACATGTTCAAATTACCTAACTAAACAATCAATCAATTTGTTACTAATGAGCATTTGTAACCAGGTAGCTATGCTAATATGGGTTAATGATTGGCCAAATACACCTGAAGATCTTAAATGCAAATCTGCCCAAGTGGTATTTTCTAGATTCAATAAACAAGGAATTCTCCTGTTAATTTTCAGGATTATTTGGTGAATGAACCCTTTGTAATTTGTAATATGTCAGCTTTGTAAGTGGAATAATAATCAGGTCAATTTGTCTCATAATTGGAATTCATGCTAGGGGTTAGTAATTATAACTAGGGATATGAAATTATAGTTATTTTTAATTATTTATTATTTCTTCACATTCCACCATCAATTGAAATTCATTGTGAATGACCCTCATCCTTTTTAATGAAAAGATTATTTAAGTCTAAGAGACTAAAAATAGAAATAAGACAATTCTAGTTTATTTTGAAGAATCCTTCAACAAATTAAATTATACTTCTCATTTAATTCATTAATTCTAAGAGCATTAGTATTTTTTATTTTACACTTGTTGAAACAATCTAAAAAGCAACTGACGCCTCTATTCATTAAGTAATCTTCTAAATACTAAACCATTGGATCTGTACACATACAACTCAATTTTGAAATAAAGCAGGTGTAACCTTTTTCATACTTTTAATCAACTATTCTTTAAAGAAATTGAAAAACACTTTTTAAATATTCTGAAGATAATGTTAATTTAAATGTTCAAGTTTATATATACATTCACACTTGTTGCGTATCACTTGTCACGTGTGTGCACATATTACAGTTGTTGCATATCACTTGTCACATCTGTGCACATGTTACACTTGTTGCATATCACTTGTCACATGTGTGCACATGTTACACTTGTTGCATATCACTTGTCACATGTTGCATATCACTTGTCACATGTGTGCACATGTTACACTTGTTGCATAACACTAATCACATTAATCATTTTGACTCACCTGATCCAGCGTAGGGTAGTGAGTGGTAAATCAGTGGTGATTGTTGTACATAGTTGCAGTTTATTATTGGAGCACTTGGCACCTTGCAGTTTCAAGCCAGTAACACCAAAGCTACAGTCGTCCAGATTGACATTGGATTTACCATCTGAAACCTCCACCTATAAAAAGCACAGGAAAATGAAGATGGGACCTACAACAATGCTAATAACATCAATGGGGATTGTGTATGTTCACAAATAAAGAATTTTAGGTAATATTTGGTGAATTTCAGGCATTTCTAACATAGTGTTCCATTGGAAAGTTACAGAATACTGGAAAACCTGATTTATTTCTTAACAATTTGAAAGTGGTAAACCTCACACAAGTTGTTGGGGAAAATAATTCCACATGACAATTCAATTTGTGCTGTAAATCGTTGTGTTATACACCTTAAAAAGCTAACATACCTGTAGGAACAACTCCTCAAGTGACCAGCTGTTTGCCTGTGCAACATACTGCCTTGTTGCTGTGATGTAAGCCTCTGGAATAAACAGACCACCCAACCACACTTGCAACGACTGAAATGGAATGAAGAGGCATGATAGTATAATGTATAAAGTATATTCACTAAATACAGCTTTTGACAATATATTTAAAGTCAGATTTTGTGTGGATTTATCAACATAAATTGGGTATCATAGATCTTCGAGGACGGAGGTCTATCGGGCAATTTAATACACTCTAATGTATTCAATTTGTTTTTTTACGATACTTCTTGCCAAAATGGAGAAAAAATTCAGTTTACAGATACGGATAATCATTCTGCATTGTAAAATACTACAGTAGAACCTGTGTATGTGGAACACCTTTTATACAGCAAAATACTGTTCCACTTTTGAGGTGTTTGATTTACAGAAGTGTTCCACTTCACAGGTTATATTCTACTTTGTACATACCTTCAATTCCTTAGCTCCTCCAGACTGTGAGGCAGATGCAACATTCTGGAGTTGTTTGATACGCTCCCCAAAATCTACTATCCACTGTATGACAGTCAGTCCACTTGGTACAGTGTAGCGCCTCCACAGTGACGGGATCATCCCTGAAAAATACAACCAAACACATGACTGAGGTAATCTGAGAAAAACAGAGAGCCACATATCCGTCTGACATTGAATAGTCTATGGTACATTTTTTATCCTGATATCTGTTTTGACATTTTTTCAATAATACCTTTAGCTAAATCGCTCATTAGATTTCTATGGTGATTGGTTGGTTTCTTCTCTCCCGTGCAGATGAGGATGACATCCTGCAAGTCACGTCGCACATCAGCCAATAGCTGGACACCTGCATTCACTTCACGTTCAAAGAAGCGGAATAACGGATCTTTGATGTTATCCACTGTGCGCCTCATGCTGCTCAGACTCTGTAAAAGTAACAAAAAATTTCATTTCTAATCATTAAATTTCTTCAGGGATATTTCACTTGTTTTAACATTCAATTGACCCAATATCTCATATACCTAGAGAATGTGACTTAATGACATTGCAAGAGCCCATAAAATATTTTTTTAGTATTAGTTATTTGATTTTCTTTTACTAAATACAGAAATAATATGTGAATAATAGTATGTGTGTTATCACAAATACCATCTCTATGCTACATAAATATCACTCTAACCCAGAATTCTAACCCAACATGTACATTGTCTTAACTGTATAAAATAGAAACCCTGAAATATGAAAAATAGAGCTATAGAGATATATATGTATACACAGGATACATAAATCATATAAAATGTTCTGAAGAGCTGTGTATATGGAGGAAGGGAGGGTAAGTGAAGGTTGGACTTAAAACTGTAATGGTATCACTACCTGTTTCATATAAGTGGTCTTGTCATATACAGCTAGAAAGACCAACTTTAAAGCAATGAAACATTAAAAGAGTCACCAAGGTGATCCAAAGTTATCTTTGATGCATACTATTGGAATGGAAAGTGTATGTGCAGTTGACTACTCAGGAATTAGTGATGGAATATCTTTGTGAAAAAAGGAGAGTGTTTTCTGTTTAATCAAAGGCTCAATAATAGGTTAATCTTTCCTGTATACCAAATATCAAACACTAGCTTTTTATCAGGGTTTGGCGTAAAAAAGTGAGGGGAAAAATTTAGAAAAGTAGTGGATATAAAAGAGTTCTATTTTTCGACATAAAAAGAACCACCACAAAATATTCATCATGACCCACCACAAGATATAATTGTATTAAGATTAAATATACTTACAATCTGCAAAACATCGAAAATGAGGATTAGTACTGTTATTGCATGCAATACTATGAATGAGAATTTCAACTAAAAACTTATTCTAATCATTCAGCATAATAAAATCGTAATGGGCATATTGATGAATAAAATTCAGCAAAGTAAATATGCAATCAAAATAAAACAAGACAAAATTAAGCAGCAATTTCTAAATTAAATCCAAAAATGTTGCCATGTTAGTAAGAAAGTGCCATTTATAGCATGTTTATGTCTTACCTTAGGTACAAGTTTAAGCCACGTCATGACAGATGCCTGCAGGGTGCGCATCCAGGCAGGACGACCATCAGAGACCTCTTTAGCCTTCTCCTCCGTACCAGTCCCATATGCCAGCTCATCGTCGTCTTCTAGAAGCTGCATCTTCAACAACTTGGCTATCATCTCACCACCTGGGAAGCACGAAATATTAAGTGATGGGCATGGCAGTAATGTATTACATTAAAACATGAGAATCTGAATAACTCTACACAATGCATCTTTTATCCTTATTGCTCATGGTTAGGGAGGCACATCTGCCCCCCATTTAAGGAAACCTGTTTCCTAGTTTATTTTTGATCTGAAACTTTCTGGGTTTTCTTGAAATTGAATAGGGCATGTTTTAACGAAACAAAATATGACTCTAACCCCCCTAGGAGGAAAGTTAGAGCTGGTTACTGAAATAACCAAATTGTCAGTACTTTTGACTAGGAACGATAAACGCCTTCATTTTCTTCCTCAATAATGGCTCAAATATATATAACCTTTCTGATGATACCTTATACAACATCCTATGATGTTCGTTTCTGAGATCATAGGGGAGGGGTGGGGGGGCAACCGTTGGTGTAATTCTCTAGTGTAACTGCTTAAGGGTTTAAGGGTTAAAATCATTTTTTATACTCTCATTCTTAGGAAGACTCAAGCAAACTGGCAATTTTGAATCTCACATTTGTGCCTTGATTTCAGTTGAAATTACATGTATTTGAACTGACATCATGTCAGAACTGACATCAGAAATGTTTGTTAATTTCTTAACCTAATTAATACAGGTCAATGGTAACAAGGATGCAAATGTTGGTGTCATTACTTACTTTGTGTTGTAAGAAGGACAGTTTCTGCACTGTTAGGCAATCCTAGCCAACTGGGTGTTTGTTGGTCCATCAAAGTGTCTGTCCACTGGACAAACTGTTCACGCCTGGAGAAATAAAACACTTACATTTTATGTACATATGATTATGTTTTCTAATCAGTAATGAATTACACTAAAAGAACAAGTAGTATCTATTTTATTTCATATTCTGTATACAACAAAGGAACAACACATTCCTGGAACAAATACAGGGTGTCCACATAAAAGAAGTAAAGGGACATGTAACATATTTCAAGGGTCAATTTATTTGTTTACCTTATTCCGTCAGGCATTGTAATACTTTTGCCAGAGCCATCTATGTTTGACACAAGAGGGAAATCTCCGTCAAAACTCTTCAAGGTAAACAGCTTGTTGAGGAAGGCAGTCAGCAATCTCTGAAAACAACAGGTTCAAGAATATTTACACCAAATACTGATTCCAAATAAATGTTCTGTATAATGTGTTACTTGGTTTTAAGCTGTATACAGTTTTGTATTTTGTCATATTGTAGAGTAATATTGCTCAAAGAAAAACTGAGGTAATTCTTTTTCTTCATGGTTTGTTCATGCCATTATCTACTTATCTAATATCCTGGTATAGGATGCATGCCATATTGACATGTATTTAGTTTAGCATTTACCACCTAAGAAAGTTGACTTCCCAGGTTGCATGTACCCTTCAACAATTCCTAAAAAAGCTTTTAACATGTCAAATGTTTAACGTGTCAAAGTCTTGAGTAATCTTGAAAGGTTTCTTATGCATTTAAAGTCCCCGTCTAAAGTTTGAAAATATTTTTTTATCATTCATTGAAATTTCTTAATCACCAAATATTTCTTAATGCATTTCAAAAAAGATTATCTTTTTAACACCAATGCAAAGGTTGAACAAAGGACACACTATTTCAATAATAAAATGCCATATTTAATGGGCCACTTCAATGTTTTAACATATCAAAAATATTTTGAAACATTAGTGATGTCACTAAGGTACCAAAAACTTTTTGAAAAAAATTGAAATTTTTTTTTCGATGTCAATCTTTTCTAAATATGTTAGACTTTCATAAAAAAACAATGTTGATTGTCTAACCAGGTTAAAAGGAAGAATAAATTATGTTTTAGATATCATTGTACCATTGGTTTCTATGAGAACTAAAATTTTGAACTGCATTTTTCTTAGAACCATTTTCATGCACTAATAAGTTCATTTCTCGCTTATTTATGAACCGATTCTCTTAATTTTTTCGGCAAAAAACATGGGAGGATGAATGCTATGCATTGGTATGAAATGTGGCTAATTAAAAGATATGAGTGACCTCTAAAAGTTGGTTTTAAATAAATTCACAAATTTTGGAACAAAAAGTCTATCAAAAACCACTTTTTGAAATTTAAAAAAAAAGTTTCACATATCACACTTTGATAACATTGGGTAAGACTACAATATAAGCCAAAGTGGTTTAAACTTTATATGGGGCCTTTAAGGAAGATTACAAGAAGCCCTACCTGATCAAAGTCATTGTCAATCTTGCCTCCATAGATACATTGAGAAAGCAATGTTCTGAGGGCATCCCATGGTACCTTCTCAGGTGGCAGGTTGGTACGGCCCTGGAATATAATATATGTAAATAGGATGGGATATGTACACCATTTGTGGTTTATATTTACTCCAACTGGTTATACAGGCTACCCCTACTACAAGTTAACAACAAACCATTAAATACACATTGAATGAGATGAAAAACAACATATAATATGAATATTTGTAAACCTACATGTATACTAAAAGAATAATTGGACCCACGGTCCTGTGCTCACACAGTGTAGTTGACGTCAAAATCAGCAATTTCTCGGAAACCGGGCGAATTTGGGAAATGGCGATGATAGGTCAAATAGGCATTATGGATATGCATAAATGAATGTGGATATGACTCAATCTGAATAGCAGTTTTAATTTGTGCGGCCAATGTTGACGGACGGACGGACCAACGGACAGACGGACGCCTGGTCGATCCCATAGGCTCACTGTGTGAGCCAAAAATATGCTGTGTTTCCTACATATACAAATTCTTGTTCTAAATATCGCAATTGATAAAGTGCCACAGGCAGTCTGCTCAGCTGCATTTAATTAAGTCTAATGGTGTACACATCTGTGATTTCAACAATAGAACATTATTTAAGCTATTTAATTGAAAATAAGCCAATGGGGTATATACATTGTACGATACAATATGGATTGTCTCAGATGTTTAAATGACATAGATAAGTGGAGAATTCATTAACTCCTTCAAATAAAGCTGAATTTATATGAGAATTGTCATGAAATTATTGTAAGTGTTGTAAGAATTGAAACAGGTTTATCCTTTGGTTTACTCAGGCTTAATACTATTATTTTTATAAATATTTAAGTTAATTACCATAGCAACGGATTCAATCCAGACATCAATGGTGTCACATGCGCAACGCAGATCTGATTCATTGAACTCATATTTCTTGGACCAACCCAATGGGGAGTAACGCAGTCTCTCCTGTACAATTGCATGGAACCATGCCAATAGGAAGTACAATCTAAAACATGGAAAATGGAAAAACTAAAATGACTTGAAACAAAGCAACATGCAGTGTTAGACAAAATTAAATTGAACTAAACTTTGGGTTCAGGATTGGATACTTTTTCCCACAAATTATTTGCCTCTGAGATAATACTGTACATGTAATACCACAAAACCAGTCCATACCTTGCCCTTTCATTGGGTGCTTTACACATTCTTGATGCAGATATTGTGTTGAATGTACGCAGAAGGTTAGCCCGGACACCTGGTGGGGGTTCATATACAAAGCATCGTCCAGCACGCAACAAGTTCACTGGAAGCTACAAACACAAAAAATACGTCCTTAGTTTGAAGCATTCTACTTTTCACATAAATTGATTGATGAGGTATAGTTTTCATTGACATTCAAATGTTTACATTTTGGTCATTGATTTATTTGTTTACAAATACATTATGGTGAACTAATATGTCAGAAAGGTCATATCACATGACTAAATAAAAAGTATACATAGTATCAACATGATATCTTTTATGTGTTATTTTTTGTTTGTTTCATTGATTCGGGGTCAGGTTGCCATATCAATTTGTCCAGACTAGCCATGTGAGATCACATGTGAAAGATTAATTGATTACTCATCACATATTGGACATTGATCTTATTCCTGGTATGATGTATTTCCTGTAACTAAAACCTGGAAATCGTTACAATAATTCTGACTTCTTATCAAAGGGTGATCAATAAGTAATGGACGCTTTTTACAGACACTTTTTACAGACCAATCAGTTTGATTTTTTGTGGGTGATATATTATTCAATTATCTATCAACTCTGAAGATTTTAAGACAAAACTTAATATATGTTGATATATCTTCATTTCTGTGAAGGAGGCAGGTACCCCTGGACCAACATTTACATCACATATTTTTTTCTATAAATTGGACGTATTTCAGTTATATTTGAACTTTTTTTTATGCCTTATTTCTTTTCATACTAATTATTTCTATAGAGAAAGGATGCAAGTTTAATGACATTGATGAAAAAAACAAGGTGTGCAATGCAGCTTGCCACCATGTCAGATAATAGATTTGGCTTTGTATTTCAATCTTGTGTTAAGAGGATGATGAGGAAGTGTGTAGCATTCAATGGAACTTATCTAGAGAGCCCTGTAGAATGAAGGTGGCATTTGAATGCCACATAGTGATAACAAAATATTCAATATCACTTATTGCGTATCGAAATGCTGCAATTCATGACCATCGTGGTTTATTTTGTTCAATCTGCATTCAACTGCATTACATATTAAATTAGCTAAAATAGCTTCAAAATGTGTGACGTAAATGTCGGTCCCAGGGAACCTATACCTCATAACAGAAATAAAGTTATATCAAAATGTATTACATATTTTGTCTTCAAATCTTCAGAGTTGATAGATAATTGAATTATGTATTACTGGTAAAAAAAATCAAAGAGATTGGTCTATGCATGTAAAAAGGCGTCCATTACTAATTGATCACCCCTTGTACATTAGCACAATTGAAATTTTATAATTCCTTTATATTTTCACTTTCTTCATTCAAACCTTTCAAAGTCAATGGAGACAATATGTTAATATCCTTTTGGCAAATTATCGCAAACAAATTGAGCTAGAGGAAAAAAAACCATTCAAATTTTCAAGATTCATTTAATCAAACACATTCTCTCTTTGGGGGCCTATACATGAACTACTAAATACATCTAAGCAATTGTCCCCAAAGTTTAAGAAACAGTGTATAGTGGTTGGTTTAAATGATGCAATGTAATGCAAAGTATAAGTCAAATCAACTATATCCTAGTGTCTCCTGAATCCTCTCATTGCGATTCCACCCTAAAGCCTCCCCTAATCACACCCTGCCTCTTATATTGGTAAGATCGAAGTATAAATAGTTTTCTTCATACCTTGGGGTTGATCTCCATTGTCAAGAAGAGTCTGAAGCCAGGATGAGGGGTCAAACTGTGGAGTTTCTTTTCCAGTTGCACAAGCCACTGTGGGGCCAAGTGTACATTCTTCAACATTACCCAGCGCCCAGTTTTAGAGGCTGAGTTAATTGCCTTATCTGCCTGGCTAAAACCCTCCGCAGATCCTTATCAATGAAATACAACATATTTAGTAATATTTGTAATACCGTATGTTTTATAAATGGATGTAATGAGATAAACTATTGAAATAGGGCCCTCCAAAACATGAAGTCCCAGGGTTCAACAAAGAAAATGGAACGTATGACATTCAGGGACAAATGTATTCATATTCATGGTAATGTGAACTTTCTCAACAATAATCAAAATGTACCTATAGCAATGGCTGTCAATGGCTGGTTGTTCTCAGAGGCGAGATCATCAACACGTCCTGAGGCATCATACCCAGGTACAGAGCACATCAGAATTGGGGTGTGTGCCTTGATCTAAATAGTGAAAAGCAGATATTAATTAGAATATTGAGTCCTTGACCAAACAACTGATTCTTATTTACTCGACCCGATGAATAATCATTTTTGAAACATAAAATTTGTTAACATGATATTTACTTACATATATTTCAGCGCAAAATATATCATATACAAAAGAAGTGTTACATATTTCAATACATACCTCAGACTCTACAACATGGCCAAGGTTCAACTCCTGCTCAGAGACATGTAAGAAGTTATGCCCCAAGGCTGCTTGCACAAACGTTGTTGCTGAGGCTATGAGCCTATCAGGTCTGAATGTCTGAACCACCAACATGTGCTGCATTGCCTTACCCACTGGAGCTACAAACAGAAATGGTCTTGTATTGTATGTCATGGCGGAATCACAATTGTTTATGGAAGCATATTCAACGGTATTTCTTTGTGGTATTTCAAGGGAGCACCCTAGTTTCTACATGCTTTTTCATGGTAGCTTCATGAATATTTTTCCAGTATGATATAATATGGTAACATAATGAGATGTCACTTACAAGTCGATGGCTCGTCTGCTACATCAGGCACATTGTGTTCAGCTGCAGTGGATTCTAGCCAAGACATGAACTCCTACAAAACAGGGGTTCACAGTTTGTAATTCAGGGACATCCTATGATTAAAGGATCACACACTTGAAGCATCCTATCAAATAGGTGGCGTAATTATTAACCCTTAGCAATCTGGACCATTTCACTTGGGTTGGATAAGAGTTATAATATAGATGGAGTTACTATATAAATGTTACGTAAGACCAAAAAATAAACTGAGTGGTAACTGAACTTACCGGATTGTTCCGGATCTTGTTTGGTAGGGATTTGAAAGCAGGCAGTTTGGTGAGGCTCAGCAATGAGGCTTGTTGCTGTGGGGTGAGGCCTTCAATGTTTACCCCACCTTGCTTCTCTCCTATGATTCCTTCCTGACTACGTAGGAAGTGTTGGAACTCATTGTCGTACATGGGGTCTCTGGAAGTAGAAATATTAAACACATTTCATCTAAGTTTTCATAATGTATCTCATGGAAAAATTGAAAGAAGTATATAATTTAGTCAATAATAAACCCAACTTGTTTCTTCCAAAAAATAATAATTTCCCCTATATATTTATTTTACATTGTACATATCAACAAAAATGGGGGGTGGGACGGGAATTCATTGTATGATGCATGAACTCACCCCATTCCTTTAAGGTTAATCCTTGCTAGCAGTACAGCAAACACTATCCTATCCTGGTGAAGCATACCACAAGACACTCGGCAGAATGTGATCTGAAACAGTGGACATCATTACATTTACAATTGCTTGGCAAATATTATCAATACAAACATTAACTTGAAACGGCATAATATCAAGAATTACCAATACAAAATATATAAGTTATTGCATTGTCAAACTGATTTACAATGCTTAACCAAACTGTCTCAAAACAGGGATAATACAGACATTTTCAAGAAATAGCCTAGAGTCCAAAATATTTTTTCATACCTGGAATAGATCCTCTGTGATGATTTTCAGACGTTTTGAATATTCCTTGACACCCTCAAGTCGCTTGTTGTTGCTGAGAATGGAGTTGAAGATATCCAAGAAGAAATGAAGGGCATACTGGTACAGGAAGTGAACCTGAAAGAATTGAATGTGAAGAGAGAAGGAATTACAAGAATTGTGTAGTCTATTGATATGTTAAACTTGAACCTTGATGAATTTCAAATCACATAATGTACCTCAACATACACTAACCTGGTTGAGAGACTCCAGTGTGAAGTAGATGCTACTACAAGACTGAGCTAGGGGTACATATTCCTTAGATGTTGTCTCCACTTCAGCCATAATAATGTCAGTCTCTTCAACTTTCCTTGCTACCTCTGCTGACTCATTCTTCAGAGTTTCAAGATGGCTGATGATACTGTCGTCATCTAGGATCTTGCCCTTGACGTCATTGAGGGACTGCAGCAATGACTTCTCAAGTTGGCGAAGTCTCAAGTGGAACTCACCTATTGGGAAAATAATTCAGTATGTTAAACTGGAGCAATTTGGATCAATTTAAAAAGCATGGTACACAAGAAGCAAAAAACTATGTCAATTAGGGGGTGATGAAAGTGAAAACTAGTTGCCATTTTCAAATACATTAAGATCAGCACTGCATGTGTTAGTCTTCTTTTTTTCAGCCATTTTTCAGTATATGTTCATGAGCTGGGTAAACCTTACATAACCTCATACATACCTTGTAGTTTGAGGAGGTCAGACCTCTTCTCATCTACATCTGGCCTCTCTGCCTTGAGCACCTGGTTGAGGCACTGGGACTGGAGACTGCTACGTGTCACTGTGAAGTTAACAAACGTCACTCTGGAGCACACATCTGGGGCAAAGTCAACCTGGAATATATTACATGGAGAAATCAGCGACATTGACAGTTTATGCGCTCATATCTTGGAAAATCAAATCAAATTTTAACATTTTTCATATTGTGTATGCTTCAGTATTTATAAAAGAATAGAAATGAGATTGATAATGCGACATTCACTTTCCAATCAAACAATATCTGTAATTCTTAATTACATGTATTCCTTTTTGAAAATTACAGTACTCTTCATGTACAGCCAGTACTGCAAAGGTTAAATGCCAGATCTATGTACTTAAGTACTCACAGTGGGATCTCTAGTTGAGAGGAAGATGGTAAATGAGGGTGAAAGATCAATGTCTTGGTCTCCTAGAGAAATAAGGACACGTCCTCCAGTACGACGCAGCTCTCTGTTCAGTACAGGGTTCAGGATTGGATCATAACTCTCAACATCCTGGACCAATAGCGGGTTGCCAAATCGAAGGGCACTCTCAAGGTTCTTACGGAATGCATCATCAAGGAAGCTGAAATAACATGTCAAATTATGAAATAACATGTTAAATTATGAATTAACATGTTAAATTATGAAATAACATGCTAAATTATGAATAAACATGTTAAATTATGAAATATCATTTTAAATTATGATGAAACATGTTAAATTATGAATAAACATGTTAAATTATGAAATAACATGAAATTATGAAATAATATGTGAAATCATGGAATAATATGTTAAATTATGAATAAATATGTTAAATTATGAAATAACATGTAATTTATACTAATAAGCATGTAGGCCCCAGTCCCTCCAAAATACACAACACTTCCCAGTGATGACTTCTTTGAAAATAAAGTCAGATTCTATTACCTAGTCTTTGTGATCTTCCTGTCTTTGTATTCATTCAGAAGGAACTCAGTGGCCTGGCCTGAGGGGTCTATGATGAGGGGGTATCTGTTGAACCTCTTCAACATTATGGCATTCTCAGTACAAAGGTCATCGGCTGGGAGAGAGTTAGCCTGCCAGCGCAAACGCTCATCAGCATTAGACAGGTACTGAAAGTCAGAAATACACAAATAAAGCCAAATTATATCACTTTCACTATCAACTCTAAGTGAATTGCAACTAACGATGAATGTAACATTAAACCTTCTTAGTGAAAATGTTGGATATATTACCTCTGTTCTGGCTAGGTCATGCCTGAACTGGATATGGGCTTGCTGTAGATGGGTACACCATTTTGTGAACAGACTTTGCCTCATGTGCTGGTCAAAGTAGCCTAGAGAACAAATATATTAACATGACGTATATTCATTAACTCTGTATGTATGCTTAGTATGAGATGTGAAAAAAGAAGCAAATTGAAATAGGTTTACCAAATAAAGTATTCTGTGAAAGAGTAATCAAAATTTTTTGTTGAAACTTTTCCATATCAAAATTCCATAATTTAAGTGTGTAATTACTTGACCAAAAGCATTATTTTCATCAACAAAGAATCAAAGTAAAGGATACAAATCACACATTCATTGATTGACCGTATGCATACTTTTTTGTATTTTCATTTTATTTTTTCTTAATTCATTTATCTTTTCAGTTTGTATCCAGTTTCCACATTTCAAATCTCACTCTCTTATCTTACGAAAACTGCTTCAGATTTCTAAATTCGTTGACCACTTTAGCCATTTTTGAAGAAATTCCCTGACTTTCCCAAAGAGTTTTTGAAATATGTTGTACTGACCAGCATAAGCCATGAAGGCTGAAGAGAGGAGGACGTCTCCAACAATGGTGGACATCTGGTTCTTGAATGTCTCACTGCCAGCCTCCCAACGTTCTCTCTCATTACCAAGGCTTTTCAATAAAGCTACACTTCTCTCAACCTAAAATTTGAAACAACTTCTATATGAAGATACAAAAGAATATGAATTATGGTAAATATACAAGATGCACAAATGGTATGGGGGTCAGTTATAAGAGGTGTACAATCAATTTTGTGCATAATATTTTAACATTGAAAATGAGATCTGAACTAAATGAACAGTACATACTCATATAATTTTAGATTTTATACAGTATCAAAATAATTCATTCATTTGTTTTTAAATTCTACCTTAGCCTCTACAGCAGCAAGGCTGGACTTGATGGCCTGAGCTTGACTGATAAGCTGGGCATATTCCTCCTTGTAGTTGGCAATACTCTGCTCTAATTGGGCAACCAGTCTGTTCATCTCCTCTGCTTTGGACCTGTTAACATTGGCACTTTCCTCCAAACTGCTCAGTTCGTTCCTCAGTGGCTCAACTCTGCTCAACATGTCAGCATATTGAATCTGAAATAGTGCGTGTTATATGTGAAGATGTATAGAAAATGTGAAAGAAGGGAGTTAAACTGCCAATATTGAGGAATGGTAAAGAATGACTGGACAAAAGAATGATGAGATTATATTAGGCACTAAACATATCATGCAAAACTTTATTACATATCATTTCAGAATTCAGAATATGGGTGTAAAATGGATGATTATTATATTGGTAATATTGGTATTAGTTCCCAATTAGAAATGTCTATATGAGTCAATATCTAGCATAGAAAGCATGGAAACTGACTCACCTGTGCAATAGCCCACTTGACAAGGGGACCACATGCCAAACTGGCCCTGTTCACTTTCTCAAAGTTGTAATCTGGGTTGCTGATGTACTTGGACATCATCTTCTCGCGAATCTCATCCCTGGATAAAGAGGATAAATTGAAGACTTTCACAAATCACCTACAGTACTAAATTTCTTTTTATTTTATTATTATTTTATTGTGATCATATTAACAGAGAACATTTTGTGTGACATACTACACAAATATAAGAAATAAGAAAATTTTTGAACTTTGGATAAGTTAACATATTTTCCCTTTCATTTGTCAATTATGTGTACCAAATGAATCACAAAATAGCTTTCAGATTTGAAACATAGGAGACATGTATTGGTGGAATTAAATCAAATAAAAAATAAAATATGGCTTCTTTGTACAATTTCTGAAATTTTGATCAATTTGGGTCAGTTTTATTTAATGAATCAACGAATAGAAAAGATGTTGAACAAAGAATTAGTAAAGATGAATTCCTAATAAGGAACAAAATAACACAAATCAAATGTGGTAGAGTTGCAGAAATGTTTAAAAATGGAAAAACTAATATAGTATTATATACGAACTAAACCATGCCCAACACTACACCTAAAAATGAAATAAAATTAATGTAAACTGCACACCACTGAGAAATTTTAAATAATAGGAATAACACATGGCTAGACCCGAGAGAACAAGCATGTTTAATATGATCCTTTCAATAACAAAGCATTTCTTCTCTTTAATTCCCCTAATTTTAATACCCATATTTGATAGTGGAGCAGCATGTGATAGGATTTTTTGAGTTTTAGTCAACATCCACACTCAATTTTGTGTCTAACCCCCCCCCCCCACTCCAAGTTATTCTACATTATGCAACTACTTTCAATGTATAATTGCCAGGGTATCTGGACAACTCGGACCCAGGACAACTCGGACCCAAGACATCTCGGACCCAAGACAACTCGGACCACTTTTTAAAATTATGATTTTTATCATTATGTGTGGTTTTATTTTCATTTATGAAAATTAATACATATATTATATATTGTGGCTTCATATTTTGTATTAATTTGATGAAAATGTTTTAATTTGACTTATTTGATGAAAGTTATGAAGGAAGACCAGTAAGAGAATATTGAAGCTGAAGACCCAAGACAACTCGGGCCATCTTTTGAAATTATAGTTGATTTAATTTAAAACAATTTCATCGAATTAACAAAATATATAAATAATATATGTAAAAAAACATTAAACAAAAAATTAGAACCCCATACAATGATAAAAACCATCATTTCAAAAAGTGGTCCAAGTTGTCTTGGGTCTTTAGCTTCAATAATTTCTTACATCTTAACTCTCATCAAAACATTAATTTAAAACAATTTCATCAAATTAACATAATTACTCTAGTAGCTCATGCTGGTTGAGTATGCACTTCTATGTCCAGAGATTTTCTCTTCAGAAATCATCTTTGTGAAGGTCATTGATCAATTTTGGCTTGGTAACATATTTGCCACAGAAGGCGAAATAGGTCAAATGGCCACACCCTTTTTTACGTGAATACTCCCCCCCCATTTTTGCATCTCCGGAACCGTTGAACATACAAGGTTGTGTGACCACTCAAAATGTCCGGAATGGCCACATTATAGGGGGTCAATAATACATATGTATTTAAAAAAGTCAATGGATCTCAAGATATTTGCCAAATCAGCGAAGGAAACAAACTTTTTTGGTTGTTGAGTTGGCCAAGAGGTCTTAGGTGAATGGGTACCCTAAACCACGAGGTTGCGAGTTTGAGACACGTGTGCTCCGTATGTTCATTCTTTTATGAGTACCATATCTAGTATCTACAAGGAATGCTGATGAATAATGAGTATTGGATATCGATTGAGTTTAATTATAAACCACAAGGTTGTGAGTTTGAGAGGCATGTGCTCCTTGTGTTCATTCTTTAATGAGTACTAGTATCTACAGGGTGGTCCAAAAAAATTGGAACATTTGTTAATTGAACACAAAACCTTTATTTTTCCTCTAAAATGCACCCAAATTTTACTGAGTATTGTTCAATCACTTATTTATCTGATGTAAAGTCTATAGGTGCAAACAACAAAGTTAATGCATGAAACTAGACAATGTTTGATATGACCCCCTTTCTCCTGAATTACAAGTGAAGCCTGGGACTTAGTTTTGAAATGATTCATTCACTCTTCTGCTCGTGCGATTTTGTCCAAGCCATCTTGATTAAAAAATTCAGCTTGAACAAACTACTTATATGTTTGCCTTGGAAGATCAAATATATGAACATATTCAACATTTTTTTACCCAAATTGATGGGTATCAAGCATATTTTGATGGCTATTGTTGGTTATATTACTGATTGAATATTCTCCAGAAAGAGGCCAGGGCAGTCTGTTTTGACTGGTTAATGAACCCTCTCCCCTTTTTTGTTCTAATATGAATAATATTCATTGAATATATGTATATCAATATCATAAAGGAGTTTCCCAGAACACAAATGATATATTATATTATGTGTGCTTAGAGGTGGTCTTTAATAAAGCCTTGTAAAGAACTAGTCAGTTTCCCCTCCACTGAAAAGTGGAAACAATGATTTTGTCAGTTTAGTAGCTATATGGGTTATGCAATCACTCACCTCTGACATGTTCTTTCTTTCCTACTCTTAAATATAATGATTTGGGGTATTCTTAAGTTGACAATAACATAATCCTTGTTAATACTTCATGTCAACTAAATATGATTTATAAAATGTGTATAGCAATCAACATGTTCATTAAAGCTTTGAAATAAAGAATATATGAAAAAGTAGCTGCGAAATTGACAAGTGTATATTTAAGAAAAGGGTGTTACGCGGTATAGGGCATACATTCATGGTTGCGCGGTATTTGTGATACAGGTGAATATGCCATACTCACCTGCGGTATATGGCATATTCCGCAAGTGAGTTTGCGATATTCCGCAGTGAATATGCGATACATTGATTTCAGTGAATACCCGATACTCACCTGCGGAATATGTCATACTCACTTGCGGAATATGGCATATACCGCAGGTGAATATCACATATACCGCAGGTGAAAGCGAAAAACAGAAAGTGTTGGTTTGATTGGTTGCGAGAATCGACTCTAAATGTAAAACTATACGCTGGATTACCAATATATTTAGTGCGTCGAGTACTAATATATGAATCCTGGATTGATTGAGTAAGTTTATTACGCGAGATTGATGACTGATACTTCTGCTAAGTTAATATATTCGATACACAGTACTGTTGATTCAATAATCATTATAATAATCTATAACGTTTTACTTGTTCGTTCAATCGATGCAATTGACAATTGCGTACTTCCGCATTACGTTCTCATTGGTTAGTGTATATGCCATATACCGCAGGTGGATCTGTCATACACCCCAAGTGAATATGCCATATTCGTTGCGGAATATGACATATTTTTGTATCGTGTTTACCGCATAACAAAGGGGGTCATATCAAACATTGACTAGTTTAATACATTAACTTTTTGGTTTGCACCTATAAACTTTACATCAGAGAGATAAGTGACTGAACTATGCTCAGTAAAGTTTTGGTGCATTTTAGAGGAAAAATAAAGGTTTTGTGTTCAATTAACAAATGTTCCAATTTTTTTGGACCACCCTGTAGAGACTAGTACTCATTAAAGAATGAACACAAGGAGCACATGTGTCTCAAACTCACAACCTCGTGGTTTATAATTAAACTCAATCGATATTCAATACTCATAATACATCAGCATTCCTTGTAGATATTAGATATGGTACTCATAAAAGAATGAACATACGGAGCATACGTGTCTCAAACTCGCAACCTCGTGGTTTAGGGTACCCATTCACCTAAGACCTCTTGGCCAACTCAGCAACCAAAAAAGTTTGTTTCCTTCGCTGATCTGACTAGATAGAGGCTGCGGATTCAGTCTTAAATGATGCAGGATAGATGAAAACTGTTGTGCGTAACATGCTAAAATCAGTTTTTGGCAAATATCTTGAGAACCATTGACTTTTTTAAATACATATGTATTATTGACCCCCTATAATGTGGCCATTCCGGACATTTTGAGTGGTCAAACAACCTTCTATGTCCAACGGTTCCGGAGATGCAAAAATGGGGGGGTGAGTATTCGCGTAAAAAAGGGCGTGGCCATTTGACCTATTTCGCCTTCTGTGGCAAATATGTTACCAAGCCAAAATTGATCAATGACCTTCACATAGATGATTTCTGAAGAGAAAATCTCTGGACATAGAAGTGCATACTCAACCAGCATGAGCTACTAGAGTAAATATATTAATTCACAATATATAATATATGTCAAAATAAACATAAAAAATAATTAAAACCAAATATAATGATAAAAATCATCATTTCAAAAAGTGGTCCGAGTTGTCTTGGGTCCGAGTTGTCCAGGGTCTGAGTTGTCCTGGGTCCGAGTTGTCCGGAAACCATTGCCAGGACAAGTGTAAATTGCAAGCAAGCAGGGCCTTTCAGACACAACCAAACTACAGGAACACCATGCCCAGAGCAATGGAGTATTATGACATAACAATAACAAAGCCCACTGTTCTATTGTGTATGACATCATAATAACACAATGCAAGGATGAGATTTCATCATGTATCGCACCCTTGCATTCTAAAGCATGTTCACGTGTTTAAATGTACTATCCTCATTATATAGCAAACATACTGAAACTTCATACAGTAAATGCAACATAATGAGCATTTTGCACAATACAGTACTACAGGCATTTGGGCTGCAAAAACTCCAAGTGCAATCTCGACCCGGGTGAACTTACGAAATATTATCAGTTTGGTAGTTGATTATAGAAGAAATGAAGGTATCTTTGACAATGACACCCCTAATTGCCTTCCAGTCACTGGCTGTCTCACCAAGGAGGAAACAAACAGACTCCACAGCCAGCTTGATAATAGCTGGCGGGTTGGCCATCGACTTCACCTCAACGATGGACTGCTTTTTAATCCCCTTAACCGCTAATCACAACAAAGAGAGATAGAAGTTAGACAGACAATAGATACAGAGAGCATACCCCATCTACATGACATGACATTTCTGTAGAATAGGGCATGTTCTTGTTAGCTTTATAACAAAGCCATATACACTTACGATATGTTTTCAGTGTCGAAGTTCACAATGGTCGAGATGAAATTATCTCGCATTATGATCCCACGCATTCCTTTCCAGTCTACATTTCCTTCACCCAGGAGTGTGCAGACTGACTCAAGGGCGGTACGTACAGCCTCTGGGGGACGAGCAAGTGATCTCACTTCCACCAAATGTTGTTTCTTAATACTTTTCACAGCTATAGGATACAGAATGGTTAGAAGGTGGACAAAGACAAACATGGAACATTTGATAACACTATTCATCTATCTGTAGGTAAATCTTTTTAGCAGACAAAGTTAATCTAATAGATTTTATGTTTTAAGAAAGTATTTTTGACTTTCATATTGATATTTAAGTCAGAGAGCGCAATTTAGTTTGTATATAAATTGTTTAGAGTGTATTATCTCCAATAATTAGATGTAGAAACTAGGCAGATTTGAGGAATATGTTCTCCAGTACCTTGTTTGGCATCAATGACAGCTGGTTCTACTTTAGCGAGGTCCTCCATGACAAACTTCTTTTTCTCATTAATGACTATGGTCTGTTTGTTGAGGGCTTCTTGGATCTCCTGGGAGGCGACCTTCTTCCTTTCAGCTTCCTGTTGGTCTTTCACCTACAATGAAGAATTATGGGAAATTAAGGGTTTGTTCATCAATTACTGGGAAATTATGAAGAATTATGGGAAATTAAGGGTTTGTTCATCAATTACTGGGAAATTATGAAGGATCATGGGAAACAATGAAGAATTATGGGAAATTAAGGGTTTGTTCATCAATTAGTGGGAAATTATGAAGAATCGTGGGAAACAATGAAAAATTATGGGAAATTAAGGGTTTGTTCATCAATTACTGGGAAATTATGAAGAATTGTGGGAAACAATGAAGAATTATGGGAAATTAAGGGTTTGTTCATCAATTAGTGGGAAATTATGAAGAATCGTGGGAAACAATGAAAAATTATGGGAAATTAAGGGTTTGTTCATCAATTACTGGGAAATTATGAAGAATTGTGGGAAACAATGAAGAATTATGGGAAAACAATGAAAGAAGTTATGGGAAATTAAGGGTTTGTTCATCAATAACTGGAAAACTGTATGAATGATCATGGGAAACAATGAAGAATTATGGGAAAATTAAGGGGTTTTCCATGAAGAATTATGGGAAAAATTTGAGTTCTTTGGGATCGAGTCAAGTCAATATGGATCAGGTTTGCTCATGCTGAGCTGAGTAATCAAAGTTGCCATATTAGTGGACAAGTTGACCACCCATTTGCTAATATTGATTGCTATGGTAATTGAACCTTATGACCCATTCTAAACTTCAGCCCAACTAGATCCACATACCTCCTTATATAAGGTCATGGTCCTAAAAAGGTTGCATATGTTTAATATTAACTATATCTGTCCAAAATAACTCCCTTTCCCCTAAACAACACTGGTGGAAAAGTTCAAAAAATTATCACTAACCATCTCTTTCAATTTGTTGTTGGCCAGTATGTTTTTCTCCTCTAGCTCCCTCCTCTTGATGGAGAGTGATTTCTGCAATTCTTCTACCTGGTCCACAGTCTCTCTGATCTTTTGCAAGCCTATGTTCAAATGAAGCTGCTGCTCCTCAAGATCTGACCTCTTCTCATTGAACAACTTCACCTAGATAATAAAACACCAACATGAAAACATTTTCACATACTGCACATAGTGTATTTTATTAATATTCATTAATTTTCACCTGTCATTGTATTTTTTTTTCATTTTGTCTCATTCAGGAATTCTTATCAATTCACTGACGGCATATGAAAAAAATACATGTTAACTCTTTAGTACATTGTATATCCTTTAATCAATGTGTGTCTGATTTCATTCTTTAGTTAGGGTTTGTATTTTCTTGCCATTAAATGTAGAAAGACTATTGTCATATCTAAAGAATAAGCAATACTCAAATGACACAAAAGTATGTTAAGTGTAACTATATCTTACATAGTGGTTGATGAAGTCTAGATAGTGTCTAGGAGTGACAGCTGTTGAGCGTCCTCCCCTCTTAGCAATTCTGGCATTAGCCTGGTAGAGCGTCTGATGTACGTATACATAGGCATTCACCACTACCTCTCTGTGGCTTGGACTATCTGGCAGACCCTCATAGGCACGGTGCAGGTACTCTGGCGCAATGTACTAGAAATTGGAATTATAACATACAATTTTGGTAAAAGTGATGGACTTTAGGGCCGTGAGTGGTAAATTGTATTTCTATTACAACTGCTGAAACCTTGATTTCACTCTGTACTCTTTGGATGATGTATTAGAAAGCATTAATTACAACAAACATCTTGGAATATAAACAATTTCAGGAATTCTCTAATCCTTGTGAATAAATTATGAATTTAGATCTTACGTTTGTTTTCTCAAGGTCCATTTTGTTGGTGAATTCTTTGCCCACTTGATAGAGGGCGCCATTTGACCAGTCCCCAAACCAATTCAGCACACATCTGAAATGTGACACTCATAGTATAATAGGATTGGGAACACTCCTACACATGTCGCCACTACATCTCAGTACCATAATATGTGTATCATCCATCTTGAAGTTCAACAATTGACAAACATAAATATTAACTATACACCTAAAAAATCTTCATGACACACTTCATCTTAGTTTTTTATAGTCACATCTATGGTGGCCACTGTACCTGTTGAACAAAGCAGGAGAGGTGGCAGCTCTGTCTTTCAAGCCATCTGTTGAGGGGTTCATGGTGAAGACAACGTGCATGTTACGGATGACCTTCTGTGTGAACCACTTATACAGCTCCTCCCCTGTGTCGAGCATCATGCCCTCTTTCTGGGAGCCCTCCTTGCACTGGGTCATCAGCGTTGTGTACTCGTCACCTACAAAATTGATTTATTGGTGATTGCCAAGAAATGATCATTTTAAATTATTCCTTCTTGCACTGGGTCATCAGCGTTGTGTACTCGTCACCTACAGAATTAATTTATTGGTGATTGCCAAGAAATGATCATTTTAAATTATTCCTTCTTGCACTGGGTCATCAGCGTTGTGTACTCGTCACCTACAGAATTAATTTATTGGTGATTGCCAAGAAATTATCATTTTAAATCATTCCTTCTTGCACTGGGTCATCAGCGTTGTGTACTCGTCACCTACAGAATTAATTTATTGGTGATTGCCAAGAAATTATCATTTTAAATCATTCCTTCTTGCACTGGGTCATCAGCGTTGTGTACTCGTCACCTACAGAATTAATTTATTGGTGATTGCCGAGAAATTATCATTTTAAATTATTCCTCCTTGCACTGGGTCATCAGCGTTGTGTACTCGTCACCTACAGAATTAATTTATTGGTGATTGCCAAGAAATCATCATTTTAAATTATTCCTCCTTGCACTGGGTCATCAGCGTTGTGTACTCGTCACCTACAGAATTAATTTATTGGTGATTGTCAAGAAATGATCATTTTAAATCATTCCTTCTTGCACTGGGTCATCAGCGTTGTGTACTCGTCACCTACAGAATTAATTTATTGGTGATTGCCGAGAAATTATCATTTTAAATTATTCCTCCTTGCACTGGGTCATCAGCGTTGTGTACTCGTCACCTACAGAATTAATTTATTGGTGATTGCCAAGAAATCATCATTTTAAATTATTCCTCCTTGCACTGGGTCATCAGCGTTGTGTACTCGTCACCTACAAAATTAATTTATTGGTGATTGCCAAGAAATGATCATTTTAAATTATTCCTTCTTGCACTGGGTCACCAGCGTTGTGTACTCGTCACCTACAGAATTAATTTATTGGTGATTGCCAAGAAATGATCATTTTAAATTATTCCTTCTTGCACTGGGTCATCAGCGTTGTGTACTCGTCACCTACAAAATTAATTTATTGGTGATTGCCAAGAAATGATCATTTTAAATTATTCCTTCTTGCACTGGGTCATCAGCGTTGTGTACTCGTCACCTACAGAATTAATTTATTGGTGATTGCCAAGAAATGATCATTTTAAATTATTCCTTCTTGCACTGGGTCATCAGCGTTGTGTACTCGTCACCTACAGAATTAATTTATTGGTGATTGCCAAGAAATTATCATTTTAAATTATTCCTCCTTGCACTGGGTCATCAGCGTTGTGTACTCGTCACCTACAGAATTAATTTATTGGTGATTGCCAAGAAATGATCATTTTAAATTATTCCTTCTTGCACTGGGTCATCAGCATTGTGTACTCGTCACCTACAGAATTAATTTATTGGTGATTGCCAAGAAATGATCATTTTAAATTATTCCTTCTTGCACTGGGTCATCAGCGTTGTGTACTCGTCACCTACAGAATTAATTTATTGGTGATTGCCAAGAAATTATCATTTTAAATTATTCCTCCTTGCACTGGGTCATCAGCGTTGTGTACTCGTCACCTACAGAATTAATTTATTGGTGATTGCCAAGAAATGATCATTTTAAATTATTCCTTCTTGCACTGGGTCATCAGCGTTGTGTACTCGTCACCTACAGAATTAATTTATTGGTGATTGCCAAGAAATGATGATTTTAAATCATTCCTTCTTGCACTGGGTCATCAGCGTTGTGTACTTATCATCTACAGGGATGATGATATGAATAGAGTTTTTACAGATGATTTCAAATTCTTCTGACACCATGTACACTTGTTCGACTTCTATTTATAAGACTATAAGCATTACCTTCAAAGAGTCCAGGTACCTCTCCATTGGCCAGAAGAGTGTTCATTCTCTCAAGGAAACTGCTGTCCATCACATTAGACTCATCCATGATGAAGCAGATCTTCTCATTCTACATACAAGACACGTGAAGTTACACATTGACAGATATATGATTTATTAATTGGATGTGTTGGAAAGCTAAAACGCATCTTGCAGTACAGACTGAAAGATTTCAAAATATACATTTTATGAGGTTGAAGATGAAAAACATGTATGGATGGTACTACATATTATTATGCATACATGATTGCATGTGCATTTGAAAGAGACTTGCATACTGAGAAGAAACCCTTACTCTGTTGAAAATAAACTTACCTTACAACCAGACCTTCTCAGCACATGTCTAAGATCCTCATCAAAGTCAGCGGCAGTGTACTTATTGTGGACCTTCACTTGGAACACACTGAGGCCATTCAGCCATGCCACAAAGCGGGACAATGTGGTCTTGCCAGCCCCAGATATGCCAATCATTAGCACATGCCCCTGGGGTTGCCTGAAGATCCTGTCAATTCTGAGGACATGGTCCAGAACCTCATCAAACAGCACAAGTGGCACATCTAGTTCCTCTTCATAGAACACCTATAGAAGTATTGAAAGTACATAAGAATTTTTCACATAGCATCCAAAAAATATAAAATCACTGATCCAGAAAATGTTAGCTTATTTCATTTGGTTGCTCCATTCAATTTGGATTCTACCGTAATTTGACTTTAGGATGAGCAAGCATTTTTAACGTGATACCTTCAGTCTTGCTTTGACATAGTCTCTCAGCTCCTCTCTCTCCACAGGCATGTAGTCCTTTGAGAGCCAGTTGCTGTACAGTATGGGTCTTTGAAGGGCAGCATTGCGGTCAATGTTGGGGAAATGCTTTAAAGCCACAGCGTTGATGTTCTCATTAGTCCAGATTCTCTCGTCATCTTCAACAAGTCTGAATAGAGAAAGGAAACAGTTTTAGAGCTAGAGACTAGGTTTATTCCTGAAAGAGTTGTGTAGGGTGACACGTTTCTAGTTACCATGGTTATTAATAATATCAATTTGGATTGAGCCACCAGATTTCTGTAGTGTAATTCCAAAACAATACAACAAACCCAATTTCCCCTCTGATTGACTCATTACACAATCAAACAGTTCCTTGACATACAGGCTGAAATCAACTTCTGACCCACCTTTGGCACTGTTCATTTGACTTAGAAGTGTAAAACATCGCCTCTATAACTCATACTATGTTATATATACCTGTCTTGGAAGAGTCTGAGAGCCTCATGGGCCCAAAGTCTCACTAATCCCTCCACTGGTAGGCTCTCCAGGGGTCTAATTGCCTCACATATGCCTCTCACCCAACGTGTCATCTCACGAGGACTGTAGATGTAATGGGGTTGTTTGTCTTGGGTGAACTGCTCCTGTAAAGAAACATATCTGATTTGTAATTTTATGAGCATTAATAAACGACTAAATCAACTTGTAGTTAATATAACAAGACTATCGAAACAGAGTCCAGACAAAATGTTTACCTGAGACATAGTGTAGAACTCCACCATTGCATTTGTCAGAGGGTCAGCATATGCTCGGAGACTTGGGACCAATCGCAACATGGCTCTGTTGAAGGTTCCATAAATCTGTGACAGAGATGTCTTGCCTGGATAGTCCACATAGACAACAGGGACGTGACGCAGGAACCTAAAATCAAATATTTTAAAATAAGTTTACAATTTTAATGGAAGATCAATGGACATTTGAGTGTTCAGAATGCATGGGTTCTTTTATTGCTAGAATCCTCTAATTTCAAGCTTTTATCTCATTACCAAACCCGAAACATTTATTTTCATACCTGTGAGATAGTGGTTTCCTGCCTGGATCAGTAGGTGGATTACATGCTCCCACAAACTGTATGCGCTCAAACTTCACCCATGTGTGGTCAGATGTCCTGAAGAATCCACCATGTTCCACCATCTGACGTAGGAAGGAGATGACTCTCTGGGTGCCTATGGGAACATTGGATAACTTGTATTACAATTTGTGGTAAAAGTCGTTAAGTAAATGCAACATGGATGAACAGATTGGGTGGCCACTGAAATAACATTATAGTAATTATACTAAATGCCATAGACATTTTTTTAGTTAATCTTGTTATCTTTTTGCCTTTTTTCTTTTGGCCTTTTCGCTGATAAAAATATGATCGTGCAACCAACATTTTTGGTGTTATAGACTGCAAATGTGCAGAACATGGTGACCTATCTTGTCACATATACTTCTGACATCACAGAAGTTTTCCACACATTTAAACACAGATGTATTCCTTTAATAAAAAATATCAGCAAAATGTCTCTTACAGAATTATAATGAGGTACTATCTTAGTATCTTACCATATTTGTCCATGTCTGGAAGATTGATTTCATCACAGAAGAGAACGAGCCACTTGTTGAGCTGTATGGGTGAGAGGACTGTCCCATTGGGGGTGCGTCTGTACTCGCAGTATTGATCAAACGTCTTCATCATCAACTCTGGAGTGGTTGCACTCGAGAAGTTCAGACCTATCACCTGTAGGAAAATGACACACACGATTGAAAAGATTTCAAGATATATATTTGGTGCATTCTTGGTGCATTGCAGAATTTCTAATAAACAGAATAATTATGATAAATGGATGAATCAGACTAACCTCAAGATCTGGTAGTGCCCTCAATGCACTGAACAGTGTCATTGTTTTCCCGGAGCCAGGAGGTCCACACAGCACCAGCGGCTTGTGTTCTGCTAGCCAGGTGTACAGCAAAGACTCGTGACGCACGGTGTCTAGTGTTGGCACGACAACATCAGGTGCTGCCACCTTGTGAGTCTCAACCTCAACTGATGGTACTTTAGATTGCCATGGTAACCATTCTCCACTGATAGCAACCTAAGAAAACAATACTTTTTTGTTGTTGAAATATTTCTTCTTATACAATAATAATGTTTAATTAAATGGTACAACACCTTTGGACACATCTATAAGTAACATATTGTTTATTGGGTTGCATTTATTTTGTTTCCCTATTGGTGCCCCTTGTGAATTTCTGATTTTACTATGAAGTTTACCTCATAGTCAATGATGGGCATCTGGGCACCTGGGGGTAGAGGTATGGTTGTCACTCCTCTAATGAAATCTCCCATGTCACTGCGCACCTTCAGCTTGCCGTCTCCAGACATGGACCACAACAGGGCATAGACCAAGCACTTTGGCATGTAGCGCTCCAGTTGGTCTTGCTATAAATGTAGAATTATATATTATTACTGCAGGGATATTTCCTACATCCACATTTCACATGGGTCATTGTATTTCATCACCAAATGGCTTTCAAAACAATTTTATGCTTGTTGTTTAGATCCAACTAAAAACCAAACAGTCCATTCAATTCTGATTTTCATCTTAAATTTTTTTGATGTATAAATTAATGTACTAAATTTTTTGTTAGCCTTACCTGCATTGGGAAATCGGCATGGTTTGAATTGTACGTCAATACATTGCGCACTGATTGGTTGATCATTGAGAAGAGACTGCTGAGTGCACGCAAACGTGTGTAATCCATGACGTGCTCCAAGCTGGCTCCATATTCCAGACATCTGATAACGAGGCCATCAGATGAGAAGAATGGGCTCAGAATACTAGCAATGTCCCTTTGAACCTACAACATTGAAATCACAATATATTTACAGTAAAACTTGTCTAATACAAACACCACTGGGACTGGGCAAAAGTGTTTGGATTGGCAGGTGTTCACATTTTTAGTAATTGGCCGATTAAAAAGTGAAACCCAAAAAGTGTTCACATTCAGAGGTGTTCAGGTAGGAGACTTATCTTTGGATATATAGTTTTTCATGCATTTAATATGTTTTTTATAGCTAAGCTTAATGTAATGTTACATCATAAAGGTTCAAATGCTGACAACTTTGTCTTGAATTAAACAATATCCTGCATTTCGATAAAGAATATTCAGAGTGATATAATTATAGACTACATGCTCCGCTTGAATGGTGCCCCATAAAGAGGTGTTCAACTATTAAGGCTTTACTGTATTTAGCAGATTGAATAGCTGATTGTATATAACTGGCCATTAACTGTACCTGCATGTTAATTGTAATGTTATCCTCAGCTAGTTCCCCTACATGTTCTTCCTCTCCCTCTTCTACTGAGACGTTGCGGAGACGAGTGAGGAAGTTCTGGAAGATCATCTCCGTTGCTAAGACATCCTCGCTGAACCACACCATGCCACATCTACTCACTGTTGCCAAGGTAGCGTACTTCAGATCTTGGACTTCAAACATGATACGCACCTAGAAAAATACAGAAATGATATCATAGATGACAATTATGACAAGCTTTGAATCGTAAATAATCAAATACCTTTTCAGTAGATTGTCTTTACCGAATCATTTCCATACTTAAAAATCAATTATGAGGGTACATGTATAAACCAATCCCAATAATATTAAAGTGTACAATAGCATGAAGGGGTTTAAAAATACCAGTAATATTTCAAAAAAAGGTCTTTATGTGGGCAACTTACATTGGGTGGAATACCTAGACGTTCACCATTAGGCAAAGTGAGAAGCTTGCTGTCATCCAGTACAGAGTTAAGATTCTCCACCCACTCAGGGTCGACATCTCCATCAAATATGATCCACTGACGCTTGTTCAGTTCACCTCTGACATTCTCAATGATCCTGGAATATACAAGAAAAGAAATTAGAATCAGAATAATTTACCACTTCCTGAAAGCTAACTTAAAAGATTTCGTTAAACATTCATTCTACACAAATCTTATTTACATGTGGGTATCTCAAATTAGCAAATTTGGAATTAGCAAAGACAAGAATGTTAAGCCTAATTGTATTTTCTGAGTTCAATACCCACTACCATTCCCCTTGATATAACAGCAAAAATAAAGCAGTTTATTTAGCAAAAAATCTAAGCAAAAGATCTCAATATATCTTACTTTCTCAGTGTGTGTGTGAAGAGACCATCTGTCCACTCTCTAGTGTTAGGATCTAGAACACCATAGAGCACCTCCTTGGAGATTGACTAAAACAGAAGCACAAAATCTTACTAAGACATAAATACTGAAGAACTTAATAAATTCATTATGTAAGTAACACACATAAGAGTCACAAATCTCTTCATAAAGACCCATTTTTCTCATAACTTATTGATTGGCCTTCTACATGTAAAAACGCCTCAACCATTACTCACCTTGGGATCAATGACATGTGCCACACCTTCCACTCCCTCCATTCTCTCCAGGGCCTTGAAGAGCACTCTCCATGCAGAGCTCTTTCCTGAGCCACTGGGGCCCACCATCATCAAACCATGGTGAAGCTGACTGATCTGGTACAGTTGCAACACCTGCATGGAGGGAAAACATTTCTCATATTCTAAAGAATACATTCAGAGAAAGAATCTTGACAGATTTTTGTCAGAAAGCCCTACTTTGTTTTCTCCTGTTAACCTACCTTGTCCACCCATTGAGCGCCATCCTCTTCCTTCTCACCATAGATGAGATGCATCTCCTTGCAGACCTTCCTCAGCTCCTCTCGTAGGGCCTTCATCTGGTTAGGGTTGTAGCTCACTCCAGGGAAGACATCAGACAGCAGACTGTTCAACAAGGGAATGTCCTCAGCCACCAATTTGGGCACCATGGTCTCCATGACTGACTGGATCAAGATCTGTAATAGAAATAAATTTGGTTTAATAATAAGTAATCCTATTAATCATAAACAATTCTCAGTGAACAACTGTTAAACACCAATTGAGAACCATGCATTGAGAATTCTTGAAGGCATTTGGAATATAGCCCGGCTAATACAAACCTCTTGTTCTGGAAGCTGTTCAGCGATGGATGCTTCATCAACAGCCTCACCACGTGCAGTCTTCTGTTCCTTAACCTTCTCAATGTGGTCACGCTTCACATTACCAGCACTCACTAACACACTCTTCAGGGCACGGAGTCCAAAGTCATAGTGAGATTGTGGGGACAACTGTTCATCACAAAGCCTGCAAAGTTAAATACAAGACCCTATTGTAAAACTTGAAAGTCAAATACAATTTTGCACAGAACATCAGGAATTTGAACTAACACTTAATGCTATGAATGTACATACAGTGGATATTTATGTACAATGTATATACCTATATGCTCACATTATTAATTCACTGGCTGACAGATTTGGGAATTTTGCTTATTTTAAGGAGTCAGAATTATTGGAATTGCGTGTGCATATTTAAACATGACCTTCAATAATTGTATGAAATTCTTACTTGAAGAATGGCACAATCTTCTCTGCTAACTTCTCGGCCTGCTTGAAACCCTGTGAGTACAACATCACTTGGGCAATCAACTGTCGATCTGGCTTAGTCATTGCCAAACTTCTGAACAACTTCTTCAAATTGTCAGGTAGATTTGAACGTCCTGCATAACCAGGGTTCATAGTGATAAAGATGGCCATGTCTGGGTTCAATTTCACTTGTTTGCCGATCAGCTCCACAATGAGGCTCTTGTTCTTGCCGCCATCTTCTAGGAGTTGTTTCAGAGTCTCTTGAATTGTTTGAATCTGTTGGGAGACGGCAGAGAGCATACGTTCCTCAAGTCGATTGAACTCATCAAAGCAGCCCCATGCTCCCACGTGGCAAAGACCAACGAAGATACGACCCATGGCTTGGAAGTCAAACTTTTCATCGCAGTTGAAGACCAGCACAAAGCGTCCAAGCTGGTTGCCCAATGCCTTTACTGATTCCGTCTTTCCAGTACCAGCAGGACCTGGAAGTATTTTTTGTTCACTTCAATAATTGATTTCGAGACATTATGTCACATATGATGGTATAATGATATGAAGAAATCATTTAACAAAATGAAACTACTAAACCTTAAAAATGCATCTCATATATCTTACATAATCAACACATATACTTTCCTGCATATACATCACGCTTTTGCTCTTCTCCTACAGCACTAAAAGTTCAAATATTATGAGATGACCTATTAACTTACCCAAAAAGTGATCCTACAAATTTGAACTTACCAAAAGATGATTCTGCCCATTTTAACTTACCAAAAGGTGATCCTCCCAGTTTTAACTTACCAAAAGGTGATTCTCCAAGTTTTAACTTACTAAAAGGTGATTCTCCAGGTTTTAACTTACCAAAAGGTGATTCTCCAAGTTTTAACTTACCAAAAGGTGATCCTCCCAGTTTTGCCTCCAAGGCCTGTGTCATGGTCAGGTAGCACCTGTCTGTCAATGGGGTCTGGACAAGTTTCTCCTGTACTCCCAGGTATTCAAAGCCATAGTTGAATTTGGCATTTGCCATCTGAATAGACAGCTGATGGAGTGGTTCAGGGTTTTTAGGGTCAAAATAGAACCTCATCTGACACAGCCAATCAAATGCCTTTGGACTATTCACCTCATTTTTGACCATTGTTCTTGTGACACCACGTTGATGAACAAGCTCTGTGATCTACAAAATAATAAAAAATAAATATACATTCATACATTTATGTTGATATATGATTTATTGAATTTCGTATACATTTGTCATGCTTAACATGGATCTTTGAAAAAGTGGAAATTACAATAAGTGACTTCATAAAAGAAACAAAAAACTTACAAGGTGTTCAAGTTTCTTTCGTCTGACAGGTGGTTGCTCTTGTAGTACAGATTCTGCCAGTACACCCAGTGTCTTCTCTACAGTGTCTAAGGCAGCCTGCAGGGGGCTGAAGTCTTTACCTGCAATATATGCATTCATTGGTTAACCCCTATCCATCCATAAATTAATCCAACAAAGAACATAATTCACTTGGATTTGATCAACAGTACACAATTCTGGGATCTTCTGGGTATTATACTAAACTAAAGCATTCACCTCCTTTCTTTTCTATCTGCTGTAGGGCATTGTCCACACTCTCTGACCACATCACCTGGGCTGCTATTACCACCAATTGGGCCTGAAATAGAGCAGGTAATAATGGGTTAGCACATGCAGGATTTGAATGGTGCATTATCACTCATGTGCAAAGTAGTTTTGCATGTGGTTACACTTTATTTAATAGTCTGTTGAAATGACTCCATTATCAAACATATTGAATACTTTGTAGCCATATTACCTGACTGACCACCAAGAATAAAATTGAAATGATTGGAACAGACATATTACTCCCATTTAAGGAATGCATAAAAACAAGACTGAGTTGAGAGGGGTAGTAATGATATGATAAAACTTGTTACAAAGTTTAATGAAATTCTCGTGAAAATGATCAGAAGCATGTGTAAAAATGGGAATATGTAAAAAATGTGAAGCACATGTGAAAATGTGAAACAATACCTGATATTTATCAACCCACTCCATGTAGGCCTTTGGTTCAATATTTCCAGAACGGAACTGGGCAATATCTGCAGTGGCTGCGGCCAAGAGTTGCGCTAAAGTCACTCGCATCTGTTTCTCCACCAGGGTGAGCCACTCATTGATCTTGGGGTTGTCAAGCAGGTTGACAGGCGACGAGAACAAAACCTACAAAGGAATTGCACATGAATATATGAAGGAACTTTTTCCAACAATTCTTAAAAGAAATCATACAAATTCACTTAACAATCGCAAAAGGACAGTCCATAAACTACTAGCACATATCAAAATATAATTTCATGCAAAAAGAATTTTGATAAAATATAATTTAAGATTGTGGCCAAATATTCCACTGTCAAACATTTAAATCAAGTATGTATATTAGAGCTTCATATTTTGATTCGTGATAGGTTGCACCGAATTCCAATTCATTATGTTAACAACACTAAATACGCACCTCTTCCCCTTCCTTGGATGCAATTCCAATTCATCATGTTAACAACACTAAATACGTACCTCTTCTCCTTCCTTGGATGCAATTCCAATTCATTATGTTTACAACACTAAATACGTACCTCTTTCCCTTCCTTGGATGCAATTCCAATTCATCATGTTAACAACACTAAATACGCACCTCTTCCCCTTCCTTGGATGCAATTCCAATTCATCATGTTAACAACACTAAATACGTACCTCTTCCCCTTCCTTGGATGCAATTCCAATTCATTATGTTAACAACACTAAATACGTACCTCTTTCCCTTCCTTGGATGCAATTCCAATTCATTATGTTAACAACACTAAATACGTACCTCTTCCCCTTCCTTGGATGCAATTCCAATGACTTCAGTGTTGTCCTCATTCAGGAGAATACTCGCCACACCAGCGAACATCTTCTTGAAGTGTTTCTGCAGGCGGCCAACATTTTTGCTATTACCTATGATCTCTAACAGATCCTCATCTCCCACAAAGTAGAACCTGTGGTAATAGCAAATGATCTTGAAATAAGGCTGATATCAAACAAAGCAAATCATTTTCATGAATATAATTACAATAGAGGGAGGGGGTAGGATTAAAACCTAGGTTTCTTTTTCCATGTATCTAACATGAAGATGCAATATAATAATGTAAATTCAATGTTCAATGTTTTAAAAAATGGGAAAATTGACATTCTGACAATGGGGCTCATTTACATTATGTTCACCTACCTGGGGAATGAAGCTCTCTCCCTCTCCAGGTACTCTCCAAGTGCCTTCTGTATCTTTCCCAACAGGTCTGCCAGCCTCTCTAGCTGTCTCTGCGAGTTCTGGATGTTCAGCACATCCATCACCAGGGGTGACTTGGACACTTTCTTCATCAGTCCCAGGAATTCAGTACTCACACTGCAGGCAGAATCAAATGTATTTTAAGTGAACTTGTACGTAACATATAATATTATAATCCAAGGAGTTTCTGGTCCCCTCTCAATTGTTATTAACAAAATTCTCATGTCAAACTGAAAAATAAAATTTTCCACACAACAAAATCTTATGGAGATGATTAAGTGGATCGCTTACCTCTGGAATCGTGAAGTCTCTACAGGCAGAAGGTGTTTGATGTCGGCACTCCCAGTAAAGATCCCCTCCAGATAAACCCATCTCCTCTGGACGTCTATCCAAACATCAAACAGTCCATTGATCCTGTTCAGCTTATCCTCCCATGATAGCGCCTCCTCCTCAAATTGCTAAAAATATTGAATTTTTGTCAATGATTAATAATTAGACAATTCTGTGCAGCCATCCAGCATTCGGTACTAAGGTTGAAAACATGATTGCCCAATATAAAATACTGTCATTCAGTCTACTGACACAATAAACAAGAAAGAAGAAGTATACGTCACATTGAACTGAATACTGAATAGCTCGTTGTGTAATGCATTCAAATACAAGTAACACAAGTAACACAAGTAACAAATCTGACTTTTTGGGATCTTGCGAAAACGTACCTTGTAGTAGGGGGAAAGCTTCATGGCCGCCACAAAGTTGATATGTTCCTTCACCTTGTTGAAGAGGTCGTCCCATCCACGAATCAGACGACATTTGTTTTGGTAATTGATCAACTCCAACTCGTATGTACGCCATACCTCAGCCACCTATAGGATCGTAGATAAACTAAATTTAAATCAAAGGGACAACAAAGGAAAGAAACAATTTAAGTTGAGGAAAAATAAGAAATAATCAATCACATTCATGAAAGATTTTAACTTCAGTACTGTATGTCAATATTAAAAATTTCTTAAAGATAACATGTTGTTTTAGCAGAAACGTGGTTGAGTAAGTTACTTCCTTAAAATCAGTACAACCCACGATAGGAATAATAAAGAACAATATTTTTCTTGCCTACATATATGTACACTATCAAAACTGACCTGCTTCAAGTATTGCTCTAAAGCCTGCTCTCCCTGAGCAACCAACAAGACATCTCTTACTATGCCCTCATTCCTCTGTAGGTCAATATCCCATACATGGCCCAGTGTTAGATCATTGAGCAGCCAGTTGACACGGAGCTGGCGCATTAATGACTTCCAATGACGTTCCTTCAGTGCCTCTGACTTCAGTTCAGTTACTAAGCCATTCACCTAAAATATATATTAACCTACTGTAAAGCAAGGGGTTATTCATGTTTTTGTACAGAAACTACCATTTCTTATCTCAGATTTCAATATCTTCAGACAATTGTGGAAAAGTGTACAAATATCCATCCATATACAGTAGTAATAATACGGAAATATCATTTGATCCATTCATCAAAAATATGTATTAGTACACTGATTGTTAAGCAAGAAAGCTAAAGGAACTTTGTCAGATCTTTCTACTGGTATATTCAGCAAGAGATTTTAGAACTCTATTCTAGCTTTCTATTGGTATATTTTGACAGAGATTTAAAGGAATTTTGTCATATCTTTCTACTGGTATATTCAGCAAGGGATTTTAGAACTCTGTCCTAGCTTTCTATTGGTATATTCAGCCTGGGATTTAAGAATTTTATCATAGCTTTCTGTAGGTATATTCAGCAAAAGAGTAAGAAGAAATTTGTCATAGCTTTCTATTGGTATATTCAGAAGGGGAATGAAAACAACTTTGTCATAGCTTTCTATTGGTATATTCAGCAAGGGAGTGAAAACAACTTTGTCATAGCTTTCTTTTGGTATATTCAGCAAGGGAGTGAAAACAACTTTGTCATAGCTTTCTATTGCTTAATTCACCCAGAGATTAAATTGTCATAGCTTTCTATATGTATGTTCACCCAGGAATTTAAAGACCTTTGTTATGGCTTTCTATTGGTACTGCAAGGGAATTAAACAACTTTGTCATTAAGCTATTGGCTAGCCATCAATTTGTGGTATGAAAGGAGAATTTTGGGACTATGTTGGCTACATCCTAGAAATTACCTATTACTATGGCTTTACTTGAAAAAATATTTTCAGAGTTTTTATGTGGATTTGGGGGAGTTTATTCACAGAAACCTACGCCAGAAAACATTGCTGTAAAAAATGGCATTATTTTCATCTTTAGAAAACATCTATTATCAGCAAAGATTTATTTACTTTTTACCAATACCTGTACATATATGATATTATATGGTATTATATAGCAACGACACGGAGTAACAAATCCTACTGAACAAATCATGTTTGATACATAGCGGCCATCTTGAAAATTTCCTCTTAAACAGAGCTGCTTTGTCCCTGGGTGTCAGCATATAAACTTTGAAGAAAATCCGTCCACTGGTATTTGAGTTATCAAAAACTATGTGTTTTTTACGAAAAGGGTGGTTATTTTGAAATTCAACTGCCATCTTTAAAAAGCGTATAAAATATCGATGCCATTTTGAATTGAGCAGCCGTATTGAAAATTCCTTCTCAAGCAGAGGTTCTACACCCATAGGGGATAAACCCATAAAATTTGAATCAAATCCGTCAACTTATATTTGATGCAAAGCCTGGACAGATGGACGAACGGACAGATGAACGGACAGATGAACAGACGGATGAAGGGCTTCTCTTTATCCCTCTCAAGCTTCGTTCAGTGCCTGCTCTAATACATAATGAGATACAGAAGATGATTCCACCCATCAGTTCAAGCTGTTACTTTCTGACAAATCTACATATATAGAAAACAAAAGCTAATGACTAAGCTTAATGTGTACTACAGGTTATTGTTTCACAATACTGTACATGTATATTCAAAAGTTTGTTCCTTTTCAAGAAATTGAATACTGTAATCAGGGGCGGATCCAGGATTTCAGGTTAAGGGGTGCGCCTTGATTGTTGAATTGGGGGCCGATGGATGAGCAAAGAAGGCCAGAGGCCAACCAACAAGGGGTCCGAATTTGGATGTCATTTGCTACACTCTGGACATTTCTGAACATTTTGAAATGTACCAAAAATTTAGAAAATAGTTATTCTGCGCATAACAGGCTACAAAGCGAATTCCATATCGTGAGGATCAAACTGAAATCCGCCAGGGCTTTATTTTTCTGGTTTTAGAGATGATTGTAGGACTTAAAACCTTCTCTCATGATTTTCGAAATATGCATGAAGGTTCGTTCAAAGTCGGCAGTTTAACCATTGAAAGCGATATTTAGACTGAGGATAGAAAGCTGTTCACGATCATTTTCAGCTCATCTTTATTTCGATAAACCGAAAGTAACTTTTTGAGTCAGGAACACGGTATCAATGTTCTTTTAATGGAGCCAGGAAGTCAAGACATTTCTAATAGAAAGCATAGTACTTAACACCCTTGAGTGTTTGAAGGGCCTCTGAAAGCGGTTTACAGCATCACAAACTGACCTAAATGAACTTCTGCAAAAATAATTGATAGAATATGAGTGATATTACAATTCATTTGTGCATGGGCAAGGATACCCCAGATTTGCTTTGGAGAACATGTTGAGGGGACCACATGTTTATGTGGATAGACCCAATGGCCATATGTAAAACAAATAGGAAAATTTCATAATGACTCAGTTTAAGGTCAAGCTTCTACTCAGAAGAAAGTTAAATATTAAAGAAACTGTTACTCTTTTGTCATTTGGTCTATCCAATCACTTAGAAGTTGGCGCAAGTCAGATTTTACCATGGGACACTAAAAGCTGTCATGTGGAGCCAATCAATGACAGATTTTGAATTTGATGGTGTCAAATTATTCGAGAAAGATTTGTCTTTTGGTATCCAAAGTATATTTTAGGGAAAAATAAAAATTATGAAAGATATTGAACTTTTTGTGAGTGTAACATTTTTTTTGAGACACACTGTAGAAGCATTTAAATTGAATCCCAAAAAATTTGATATAAATTAAATCGGTTATGGTACTTTGTGATAACTAAAGTAGCAGTAAGTAGATTTAGAGCATCTTTTAAGCTGAATATTCTCCCAATTCATGGAATTTTGAAATCACCAAGAATTCCAATTCTTCATTCATGAGCTTATGAACTCTGAAAGTATGGAATCTAATGAAAGCATTGTAAAGAAACCTTTAAAGGATCAGGAAATATTGTAAACCTTCTTTTATGCCGCTAAATCAAAGGTTGTTATTACAACAATAGAGAATTATGGCCTAGTCACATAGCCCGGCCGATGAGGTTCCGATGAGCCAGCGATGCAATTTTCACCGAACTCGGCCGAACACCGGCCGAACACCGGCCGGACATCCGTGGCGTTTGTTGCTTAAAACCGCATCGGTGGCAGCTCGGTGAAATTTTAACTTCGGAGTTAAATTTCACCGGGCTCTCACCGAGCTCCCTCATCGCAGCCCCATCGTAACCACATCAGAACACACGTCGGCCGGTGCACGGCCGAGTATCGGTCGGTGTCCCGTGCATCTGAGACAACCAGAGGACGAGGTTTTTTTAACGGACACCGGCCGAGCTCCGACCGAGCTCCGGCCGATGTGGGACAGAGCCTTGGAAAGTATAGTACCTGAAGATGTCCGGACGGAGTCCGTTCACGTCACCGAGCTCTGCTTCCGATGAGGAGAGCTCGGTGGCACCAAAAAAATCCACCGAGCTCTACCGATGCCGGACATCGGCCAGGCTATGTGACTAGGCCATTACATATATGTATCAAATAGTTTCATAAGAATCTAATAGTTTGAGAAGTTATTTAGCATTTTAAGGCTAAAGAATCGAACCAGTCAGGGTGAAGATTTAAATATGAACGCTAATCTTATTTTATTTAAGATTTAAAATTTTAAAATTTCCACAAATAACTACCATAATACATATTTCAGCCAAATAAGAATCAACTAAGGAGGAACTTTGATTTATTGCTTACAGATCTGCTGACAACCCTGTATTTGACGTTTATGACAACAAAACCCTCCAGGTGTTCAAAAGCAGTAGATTTTACTCAAACAAAAACACTGATAAACATGATAATAAAAACAGTTTTAAAATTTGCATATGGCTGGCCATTAAAGGTAAAAGTAACAATGATTATTAGTTCAAGCTGATGGATAAATGGATATTAAAACAAACTGACGCTTATCACAATTGATATAAACCTTTACTTATTAAATGTGAGAGGACTGGATTGATAAGAAACTGCAAAGTATAGGAATAATTTACATGGAACTCAAATAATTTGCATGGAACAGTATTAATTTACACAGAGTAGGAATAATTTGCCAAGAACTGGAATATTTTCTAAAATCTGGTATAAAATTTCCCAAAACTCAAAAAGGGATGTTATACTGTTACGTTACATTGTTACAGCAACTATTGGATTGAATATAACAAAGTTATGCTGGCAGTTATGTATAAAAACAAACTAACCTAATCTTTATTAACATAAATCAATAGTATAAAACATATTTGAGAGAGGTAGTAATCAAGAAAATGCTAGTACTTAGTTGATTGCAGAAAATAGGAAAAATTTGCCAGGAAATATTGAATAAGAACTGAAAAAATATCAAGAACTGGAATAACTCAGAACTCAGAATAAATTGTGAAAATCACGAGAATTAAAAATGAATGGCATTCAACGGAAAGTCTCTAGCTGCTTTCCCCCTCTACTTGTACGCATATTCTTACTCTCAACCACATGTGGAGTACTTTTGCTTACGTATCAATACAGGATGCAAAACAGTTTGAGTGAAAATGTCAGCAAAGATGGACAACATATAGACCCCAAGCCTTTAATGAGCGCCAGAATTACAGAAAAACCCGACATAGATGACAATAATGAAGTAAGCGACACTAGTTCTTACAACAGTTTTAAATCTAAAATGAATGAACATTCTACAAACAAAGAATATTCAAGTACACAAAGTCCTCCTGATGAAAGAGTGCAGAAACTACCAGGTGTTATCAACATTGGGATCCAGAAGTGTGGCACAGGTGCATTGAACACATATCTGAGGATCCATCCACAGCTAAGAGTTAGGGAAGGCGAGGTTCACTTCTTTGATAAGAAAATAAATCACTCAGCACCATTTAAACAAGAAATACAGAGGTATCTTAAAATGTTGCCAGTTGCATTCCCAAATGAAACAGTCTTCGAGAAAACCCCTGCATATTTTGACTTGGCTGATCCGTATGATCTCTTCAGAATGAACTCTGCACTGAAGGTGATTCTACTGGTTTGTGACCCTGTTAGGAGAGTGATGTCTGCCTATTTGCACAATTTGGCCATCAGGTTGTATTCACAACATAAGACATATGAACAGTACGTATTTGATAAAGACGGTGCAGTTGACAAAACAGCTGAAGTTGTACGTAGAAGTATATATGATGAATCGCTGAAAAGATACTTGAAATATTTTCCTCGGAACCAACTTTTAATCATGGAGAACACATTCCTACTAAAACAGCCAACATTGGCAATGCAAGAAATAGAGAAGTTTATTGGTTTGAAGAAGTTTTATACAAATGAGACATTTTATTTCAATGAGGAAATAGGTTACCATTGCATTAATCCTTCCATTTACCCGGTTCATAATGGGTGCCAGGGGAAGAGTAAATACAAAATCCATCCAAATGTCAGTGAAGAAAATGTATTAAAACTTAAGAAGTTCTTTCAACCTATCAATGACAATTTTATGAAAATTGCAGGTATAAAAATGGCTTCATTAACATATTTTTGATACAAATTATTTAAAATAGTTATTCCAATAAGTATGAATACTCGAAGGCAATAATGGAGGGTTTTGTATATGATATCCAGTAATGAATGTAAATAAGTCCACACCTGAGGGGTTCACTATTTATAAAACCAGCATATCCTGGACAAAGGAAGGGGAACATTTATTGACAGTCCGAGAAATATCTAACTTTGGGTACGGCTGTGGTATGGCTCTTGGGTGTGGAAGTAGTCAAATCTTATATGAAAAGAATATTATTTTATAGTTAACACTTTTGGGCCACTTTTTGGTATGACAATGACCTTATTGTCATAGTGAACTTTGGTTTCAAATTTAGTTTTTGACACATATATAATATGTAGCTTTGTTATGGGGTCTTATCCTATGCCAAGTAGAGTTTTGGGTTCATCCCACGTGAGATATGCACATCAACCTTCGGTCCCTACGGTCCCTCAGGTAGATATGCATGTCTCCCTCTGGATACATATCCAAAACCTCCCAGTACATAACCCTTATATATCTAGGAAAGTATGGTAATATAATAATAATATTTAATGGTCAAGCCTAGTATTCACCTCAGAAGTTTAAAAATTGAAAGTAATTAAAACTTTTGTGAAATATATTGTATCAGTTATACTATCAGTTTGACAATAGTGTTCTTAACTTTGTCAAACCTAATAATTTGAATTATTGCTTGTATTATATGAAATAAATGATTATTAAAAAAACAATTGAAAGTATCATGAATTTTTCAAGGAAGCTTTAAGGGAGTTAATAAAATATCAGCTAGCCCAATTAATTTGACATGTTTGATTACATTAATCTACACTGAATCTACTGTGTGACTGTTTTATTATGGATAAACACCAGTTTGACCATTAATTTGCCATTTTTCGAGCTAAAATAGTAGATGTTTACTTCGGGGTTTTTAAATTTCTGCGCCTGACGAAAAGTGGTCTTCAACGCTATACCACTTGATCAATCAGAGATAATATTAGCCATAAAGGTAAACAAATGAAAAAATTGTACATCTTTTTCTTCTATATTCAACCATTTCTCAATGCTCTCTTAAAAGCTGAGACCTATAAATACCCAGCCAATTTCACCGACCCATTGCCTAAATCTAGTAATTTGAAAAAATTCCATAGCAAGAAGATATTCAGGAAAGACTGACTTTTGGCATCATTGATATTGCAACTGTTTTATTACTTCAATAAATAATTGTAAATAAAATACAGGGTGATCACTAAGTTCTGGGAATTTATCTGTCATTTCATTATTTTTCAACCAATTTACTTGAAATTTTCAGGGTAAATGAGGAATCTAATTTTGGGTTGGATAAAACAGTCTCATAGTCATCTGATGTCACAATGGATAATTATTGTTACTATAGCAACATGACGAATGGCGTAGCGGGTCAAGTAAAATAAAAATGAATTCAAATTTTGCTTGATCCAAAACTATGGTTAATAAATACCTATTTGGTGGACATATTTCTGTGATTTTTTTTATATTTTTCAAATACTTCTAACTTTAGTTTCTAAAGTAACATCTTTATTGTTATATAAGAGTGTACTTTGCTCTATTTTCGTACCATTCATCAGCATCTCAAAGTCACAATCATGACTAAAAATAGCGGGGAGTTATCTTCCATTATGACTATGCTCCTTCCCATTACTCAAGCTGCCCATACTACTCTCGAAGAATTAGGGTTCACACAAGTTATTACTGCCCCATATTCACCAGATAAAGCACTATTAGGCTTCACTACATTTTGGGTGCTGAAGCATTTTATGAGAGGTCATAAGTTTGATTTTGATAAGGGACTGATTTCAACGGCTTGAGCAAATCTTCAAGGGATACCAAATGGAGGACTGGAACACATCTTTATGGACTAAGTTTGTCAACCACGCATGTGCGTCCAGGCTAATGAAAACAATCATAAATGAAATGATCCTCTCAGCAATGAAGAATACTTCTGAATAAATGACTTCAAGAGTACTGTTCTGCCTCCAGTACAAGTAGTTTGAAGCAGCCATCTAGGCAAGATGAATATGTTTTGGCAAGAAATTTTCAAATTAACATCAGTCTAAATTTGCTGACCCGCGAACCACTTTTACTTTTTTTGTAATTACAATAAAATAAATTGTAGATGTGATATGTATATGAAACATTGCTTGTCAATTCAGAATTATACAATGTACACTTGCTGAAAATTCCAACTCAAATGGTTGAAAAATCTTGAAATGTCAGACCAATTCCCAGAATTTAATGATCACCCTGTATAATGTATTTTCTGTAAACTGTCATTACAATAGTCAATAAATAACTTGAAAATATGAAACAGCCCATATGGAAAAAGGTACATCAAGTAAGCCAATGATAAAATTTCTTGAATAGAAACCACACAGCCTATGTTTCATTCAATAAAACTTTTCACAAGTGATTTATTAGACTTTTATTGCTTAGGATGATTATTGACAAACATGTTAGGTGATGAAATGTTACGGCAACTACCTTTAAGGCATATGATATTGCGAATTGAAAACTATAAATTATACAGACATGTTAGAAAATCAAACAGTTTAACATCTGTCAGTTGAGTAAACAAAATTATCGTAAGGCATTTAATAAAGGGCACTAAAATAATCCACTCTAAATAGAACACTTAAATATTATATTACTTTCAATTGTTTTACTGTACTTGTAATAAGTATAATTTGTAAATGTAATTTATTTATTAAATTATTAATTTAAGTTGAGTAGTTGTGTTATATAAAGCTTTGTGCCATATGCATTTGCGCCATTGTGCAACAATGCATTTGTGCCATTGTGCAATAATGCATTTGCACCATTGTGCAATAATGCATTTGTGCCATTGTGCAATAATGCATTTACGCCATTGTGCAATAATGCATTTGTGCCATTGTGCAATAATGCATTTGTGCCATTGTGCAATAATGCATTTACGCCATTGTGCAATAATGCATTTGCGCCATTGTACCACAATACATTTTTGCTTTTTACACTGACAATATGATAATATGTTGGGTTCAATAAATAAAGGGAAATAAACTATAATTGTATCAAATGAATTTTGTTATATTAAATCATTATTGATGTTGCTTGTATAATTTTATGACTTTTAATGGTAGACAATCTACAGTGTTGCATGTAAAAAGTATACAATATATATATCATCAACTCAACAAACTTTCATGTCCTTATCTTAGATATTACAGCTGATTACTATCTGCTCAACCTCTTGTAGATATTTAGTAGTTCAGATACATTTCAAATTTATTATTTCTAATTTTCAAGCTATTCTATGTCACACTGTACTTATGTTCCTGCATTCAAATACATGTAGGTAAAATCTACTACATTGGAAAATGTTTTCAAATCCACCCTATGCAGACAGAGCCTGTGGGAAATATTGGGTGCAGAGCAAATGAGCGGAGGGTGCGGAGCTAACGGTCATTTTTGAATTTAAATTTGGGATATTTCTGAAACTAAGCCGTTTTGGGACTTCAAATATACCAAGATATGTGTATTTGACACCAAATATCAATACAATTGTGAAAATAGTAGCGCAATTCATTCTATAGCGACGCAGTGTGTCTTAAACCTTTCCCAGACCTATATATTTTGAAATTATCCTTTTAATACTGAGTCCCCAGCATTCATAAAAAATGGTGTTCAAGGTACACTATCTTAACAAATTATTTTTGCATCTTGGAAGCCAGGCAGTATCTGTGTGATTTTATAAAAATTCGGAAATATTCTTCAGATATGAGCCCCCTCTTAATATTGGGTGCGGAGGAGCTCCATAAACGTACCTCCGCACCCAATATTTAGAGGGGGCTCATATCTGAAGAACATTTCCGAATTTTTATAAAATCACACAGATACTGCCTGGCTTCCAAGATTCAAAAATAATTTGCATGGGTAGTGTATCTTGAACACCATTTTTTATGAATGCTGGGGAAGCAGTATTAAAAGGATAGTCTCAAAATATATAGGTCTGGAAAATGTTTAAGGCATACTGCGTCGCTATAAAATGAATTGCACTACTATTTTCACAATTTTATTGATATTTGGTGTCAAATACACATATCTTGGTATATTTGAAGTCCAAAAACGGCTTAGTTTCAGAAATATCCCAATTTTGAATTCAAAAATGACCGTTAGCTCCGCACCCTCCGCTCATTTGCGCCGCACCCAATATTTCCCACAGGCTCTGTCTGCATAGGGTGAAATCACATGATTCAATGTTGACTAACAATTTATAATCATTTGATGAACTTTTAAATCAAACTTTTTACAGATATTGCATGCAGCTTAGCAATTTAACTTGAAATTCATCAGATATAATCTTAATAGGACTTCTACATGGAAATCTGTTCACAGTTAGGATTTATCTGCTTTTAGAATTATATGATTTTTCGTAAAATTACTAAGTGAACACTATGGGGACCTATATTTCATGTTTCAACGTGAAAATAAGTCTGACATTTCGCAGAGTTGGGTTCATATCCATAGTTTTTTGGGAGAGTCAGATTGATAATTTTATTATCCTTGGGATGTGAATGAAACATACTGTTTTAATGAAAAACATTGTATTTATGCATGGTCAGAAAATATCTACAACCGATGGCCGTAAACTGTACATTGTAATTCATAATTTCTAAACAATTCAAGGTGGGCTTCTGAGGCTAAATATATATATATGTTTCCAGCAAAAAGGACTTAATGACATTAAAGGGTTTTTAAATCTTTATTTCACTGTTAAGTTAGGGAAAAAACCTGGTCTACATACATATTTTAGAAGTTAGTTCATTTGACAATAAACAATGATATTGAAAATGAAGGATCAATATTGACGCATCCAATTAGAGGTTAGTTCTAACAACTACACAGGCAAATTATAACGGGCCCCGTACAAGCCAGTATTACATACCCAGCGAAGCATTTGTATTGAAGTCAATGGAGCTGAAGGTCGGCTATATATTCCTGTATAGCTGTCAAACTTTTTACCATGACAATCTTATGACGTCATCGGGACGTCATGTTTCATTTCTTCCTAATTTCACTCGCACACAGACACGTGGCGTCATTGATATAACGTAGCCATGATATAGAAGTATGTAATACAACAGTTATGTCCGTATCATTGAATATATGCCTTCGGTCTGTCGTAATATAACCCTCACAAGCTCGGGCTATATTGGTGACAGACCTCAGGCATATATTCAATGATAGGGACATAACTGCTAAGTATGAGGCACTGATATTACGAGCAATTACAGCGTTACTAGACCCATACAAGGTTGAGGGAACAGGGCTCATACAACCTCGTACAAGCCCAGATGTATTTTATAAACAAAGTATATAGCAAAAATGGCAGCCATTTTTTAAAATGGCCACCTTCTACCAAAAGTGTCATAAAACAGTGTGCCACACTTATAGTATTCACATACCAAATATTTACAAAAATCGCTCCACTATCGAGTTATAGTAAAATATGTTAAAATTGCAGCCACTTTGAAAAATGGCCGCCTACCAAAAGTGTCATTAGACAGTGTGCCATCCTTATAGCATTCTGTGACATACCAAATATGAACAAAATCACTCCACTACTTTTCGAGTTACAGAAAAAATCGTAAAATAACGAGTAAAGGCTACCATTTTTCAAGATGGCTGCCATGTGTTTCTTTAATATCTACATTTCTAGCTTTATTAATGTCCTACATAATTTTTTTACATTTAAAACATATTGCTATTACAGTTTTACATATTGCACCTAAATTACTGTAAAATCGGCACTAAAATGGCTGCCATTTTGAAAATCGGCTTTCGAGCAGAACTTCTACCCCCACAGGGTATAATGTGTACAAAATATGAACAAAATCGGGCCAACGGTATTTGAGTTATTGCACGGATGGACGGACAGAAGGAGGCATTCCCTATATCCCTCCAATCTTCGTTTGATGGGATAAATATCATATTTTGATCATATTTAAAATATCTTGGTAAAAGACTAGTGGGGTTGGTTAAACTACTGTAACATCTTTCATTTAAAGGAAGGAGAAGAGACAGAGACAAGTTGAGAGTATGCTTTGGAAATATTGTCACAGTTTTGAATAGTTTTTTTCATGTCATGCCTATTTTCTCAAAAATCCAACAGTTCTGACTTTATTTTCAAACAATCCTTCAATTTTAATGAAAAGTGGATATATTTTTTATAAAAAGCGAATCCAATTTTCAATTCCAATGATTTTGGATATTTCTGCATTATAAATTATCGATACCTTCAATATTTAGACTGTCAGGGAAACATTTGGATGTTTTTTGAAAAGATTGCTACCAACAACTCTGTCCTTTCTACTTCCTCTATCTTTTTGAGTTTGAGGGGTTATATGTCTTATACCAGTACCTTAGCAAAGTTCTGTAGTGTTCTTTTGACATGCTCATAGGATGCGTACTGCCTTAGTCTAGCTGGTAGGTCCTTTAACTGGCCAAGCAGACCATCTATAGATTGGCGAATCTAACAATGAAAAAAAACAAAAACTTGATTACAATACAGTTTATACAAGTACTAGACATTCAAAATTGGCTTTCTAGAAAACGCAAGATTCCAAATATGTGCCTTGCCATACAAGCCAAGATATTCATTACATGTGTCAAAGAATACAATATATACCTTTCTTGGCTGTATTGAGAGCCATGGCTTTTCTTTGAGTTCATCTATCTGGTCCCAGATCTTAACCAGCTCAGCCCAGACTCCCTTCAAGTCCTGCAGTTCTTCCAAGGCCACTTGGACTCTCTCTTCACTTGGACCAACAACTCCTGTAGCAATAATATAGATATATTACTTTGGCTCCATATAATGAGCCAATCAAGATTGGGACATAATATGTGCATAGGTATGTGTATAAAGAACAAGTAAGTGAATCATGAATACAGGTGGAGGTTATTTATTGGAAGATATTTAACAGAAAGAATGTGTTCTACTTAATATCAAGATTGATGCATATTTCTACATGCATCAAAATGATTTATTTGTAATAAAAATGCAAACCTGGCTCAGTGAGTTCCAGAGCCTCCTTGGCTTTCTGTACATTATCTCTCTCTTCCTTCAATCTGGTGAACTTGCCCTCCAAGATAGCGATCGTCTTCAAGGCAGAGTCAGGCTTGAGATCGCCAGAAGTTGGCTTCTCTTTCTCCCAGTCCACCAACAGTGTGCCAGTTTTGTCTTCAACGATTTTATCCTCTGAGACAATCTTCATTTGCAAACTGGCCACCTGGGTCTGAATAGAGGAGTCCTTGCGCTTGATGATGTCATTGAACGCACCTGGAATGAATGGTCGATGTTAGATAAATATTCATGATATATATGATATAGTATGTAATATGGACTGTGGCTCCTAACGTTATTTAAATACAATCCAGTGAACAAGTCCAGACTGCTAATAGAGTCAACTCAAACATCTAGTTTTTCATTAATATGGGACACCATGAAAGTCAATTCAAACATGACCGTGCTCTATTCGAATTTCTCAACCAATCAGAATGCAGCATAGCCAATATAGAACGTTCTCTAATTCTTCATAGATGCACGACCATGCTCTATTCAATCTGCAATTTGCATTGTTTTGAGTGACGTCACATCTCAGCTGCACATCTGGGGCTCTGTCCGGGGATAGCTGTTCTTTTTTACTCCCTATTTATTTTTATTTTATCAACACCCCATGTTTGCATACACCGTATAAAATCTAAAACGGGGAGTAAAATAGAACAGCCCAAACAAATTCTAAAATTTTTCAGGCCGACTTCAGAATCTTGACAGCATGCGTATTCTTCCTTCATGCCCGTTCCACAGACACGGCTTTTATCAATTTTTATGTTTGAATCGGAATAAATAATGATAGGCCATTCAATATGGTGAAATTCAGCACTCGTTGGACAGAATGTTAGTACAAATGCACTCACCTCCGGTTCGTGCTTTGTACAACATTCTGTCCAACTCGTGCTGAATTTCACCATATTGAATGGCCTATCATTATTTATTCCTTAATTAAAGAACATCACACATTTTAGTAATCAGTCTTATCTCAATTTCATTATGGGTCAGTATGAGTTCAGTAATGATTTTAAATCAGTGGCAGAATCAACTCCCTAAGTGACCATATTGGTTGCCACTTTTACTGAACAAGACAAGTATCTTGGAAACAGGCTGGGAAATCTGCCACAATGAGATGACCCGGGGAAATTACGAAACAGTAGTTAACCTAGCAACACGTCACATGACCAAGCTTTAACATTTCCTCCTTCCACGTACCCCATTCTCCCTCTATGTTGTCACTGTACATCCAGGTTGAAGGGAACTGGAAGCGTTGTCTCTCTAGCAACCTCTGGCCCGATTTGTACATTTCCACCTGCTTCTCCCAGCTCTTCATCTTCCGCTTCAGACTTTGTACGTATGTGATGAAACTGACAGCATCTGATGTAGAGGCTGTGTCTATGGACTGTTGCTCAAGCTCAGAACGAGACTAAAACAATATGATAATACAGGAATGTTAAAATATATAGAAACTAAAGGGGAATATTGGAGTGATAAAAATACAGACAACACAAGAACAAGAATATAGGACATGGAAAACAACTAGATAACAGCTCTACATTCCCCCAACTTTATTCGTTGGGATAATAAGACTAAATCTAAGAGTGAAAAATGTATAAAATGTTTTTTTAATTAACAATGTAAGAGATGTTAGAAACATGAAGTGTGGGGGTCTGAATAAGCATACTGGCCAATAAATAATCCAATTACTTCACTGTCACTGTTATCTTTATATAGATCTCACATTATATCACAAAAGACTTATTTCAATTAATGGCTTATTATTGTGAAACTCCATTGAACTCACATTGGATACAGTGCTATGGAACTCGGACATTTCTCCACCCAGCATATTTCCAAACTTGCTGATGATGTCTTTGTGCCAAGAGTCATACTTGAGTGACACCTTGGATTGGACTTTGCCGAACATGATAGTCACTGGACCAAATGCCTTGCTGTTTTCAGAAGTGTCAAATGTCTTCCTCAGTTCCCTATTTAAGACATAGAAGATGTTAAAGATAAGATTCAAACCATTCAGAACAATGTGACAAATTTGCCATGAATGATCCAAATGTATATACAATGTACAAAAACATAAAGAGCCTTTCTTGTAAAATATACTCTCAGAAAAAGTTATTAGTTATTTAATTAGTGATAACACTTTCTAACCTCTTTTAGGCCTTTATTATTATTTTCAAATACATGACAAAGGTGAACAAAGATTATGGCTTACTTGACTTGGTCCAAGGCTTCCATCCATTGGTCCATGTCTTCCCCTAGTCTGTTGTAAACCATGTCTGACTGAAGGTCCCATAGAGACTGGTAGTCCAACCATGTCTACAATACAAACACATGGTATATTCAAACAATCATGGTATATTCAAACACTCATGTGATGGTATATTCAAACAGTAATGGTATTCAAACAACCTCAGCTTAATCAAACATTTATGGTATATTCAATTCGCCATGGTGCATTCAAATAAGCTTAGTATATTCAAATAGTCATGATTTATTCAAACAATCACGGTATATTTTAACAGTCATGATGTATTCAATCAAAAAATCTTGGTATATTTCTTAATCTAAGTCATGGTATATTCACTTTATAGTATGTTCAAACATCACTTGCTGAATTTTGTTCATGTGGTCCACGGTTGGCTGGCAGAGCGTGATGCACTGACCTTGGAATATTAGTTGTAAAGAATTTTGAGAGTCATTTAAATTGAAATATTGTCCTACCTTGACATACTGGTTCACTTCCCTCACTAACACATCAATGGCCTCATATGAATTTTCTAGCACACCCTGGCCATCCGGTAGTTTGGTCAGCACACTCCTATGAACACAAAAAAAAACTTTTTATCATCACATTCAATTATATGAATGGGAATTAATGTAGCTTGGTACATAAGCATAATACCATTATAATAATAAAAAATTTAAGCTACTGGTATGTTGTTTTTGGTTTCTTGGTCAATGATTTAACATTTAAAGATAGGGCCTCAATTCATACCCCTATTTCAATGTTTTAAAATGAAAATAATCATGTCACTTCAACATAAAGTGTAACAGGGTCAAAACTAGGCTGTCGTTTGACAATTTGGAAATTATGGGATAGATTTTAGGTGCTCTACTCTACCTGTATGTGCTGTCCATGGCAGATTCAGTCTCAAGACCCACTTGGTATCGGGAGTGTTGAATTCTGGGAAGAGAGGTGATAACAGCCTCCCAAGCAAACAATTCCTGCATGATGCGTACACGCACCTCCTCTACTGGAGGATGTAGGAACATCACTTGGTTGGTGATACGTAACTCATGCATCAGGTTCTAAAGTGGAAGACAAAATACAGTTTTTAAATCATCAATACTATTTAGACAATAGAACCATGTGGGTACAAATTCAAATAAAGGAATAAACATTATCAGGCATTCAATTAAAGTATTACAATTTAGTGCATTCTAGGGTCCCATCCCAAAGGTTATACATCACTTTAAATGATCACTGATCCTTACCTTGATCTGTGGATCTCCTCCAGGTTTGTGAGCCACCTGGGTAGGGGCATCAGTGTCCATGCTTAGATCTCCCATATCACTGTCCTGTCCTTTGAGGCAATGAGTCCATGCTGTTAAACCTGCTTGGATTCTACCAGCTAGCTTCTTCTCGACCTACAGAAAACAAGGGAGATGAACGTGTTATATAAGATTACAATACATCAAGATACATTTATTAAAATTACAATTTTCTGTTTCACTCTATCCTATTCCTATTTGTACATCATATGGAAATAAAAGTTACTGAGTTAATATGATGTCATTTTTTTTGGCAAAACCCTTTTTATTACAGGAGCCACTAATCATCATTCTGATTTAAGACTGGAACCTCTTAGAAGTTGTATAATTGAATGTCAACTGCTAGATATAATTCCAGTGCTCCAATAGCACCTCTTAAGAACAACAATTTGATAAAGCATAAAATAATAGCGTTATTGGTCATGTGACGTGATGTGACCAATCACACTGCAGTATTATAGTTTGAAATGTGCTAATAATTAATATCTAACCTCTTGGTCAAGTTTTGCCACCCAGTGTGGCAGATTGGAGTACTGGTGTAGACTCAGGTCATCCACTGCCTTCTGGATCTTGTTTAGGATTTCACTGAATGTGTTTGAGTTGTAGGCACATGTCTCAATGGATCTCACATCTATGTCTATTTCCTCTTCTATGGCTAGCAAGTCATCCACCTATTAAGTATTGTAAAGGTATGCATTATGAGGTATTGGGCAGAATTCAACAAACAACACTTCATAGAAAATTCACTTATTTTCATAATATGCTTGCATGCATGAATTAAAAATGTTATTCATTTTTCTGGGTTGTGAGTTGATTCTCTATTACTTCATTGTAGAGTCTAATTGATTTGTCATATTCCTATGCTTTTTCACCTGATCTACTGAAGATATTGAATTATATTAAATCAGCAATGCTTTACCTTTTCTTGGTAGTTGAAGACATTCTCGGCCAGTTTCTGTACATATGGGTCCAGTTTGTATGACTCCCACACAAGACCCATACCTTCCCCGATCAATCCTTGAACTTCACGTTTCATACCAGCAACAAGTAATGTGATTGAGGGTCTCTCTTCTACTTTCTCATTGGTGCGTTCATAAGTGCGTACACTCTCTATGAGTGAGATAGCGAAGGGGTAGAGCTGGTTAGCTTGATGGGCCTTGTTCACAATAGCAAGTGGAATTCTGAATCCCAGCCATTTCAGATTACGCACCTACAATTAAAAACATAATTTGCATTTAATCATTACATTCATTATATTACAGTACATTAGTATCAATTTTATCCTATACGGGGACTTCTTGGATTAAAATGTTCATAAATTGCCAATCGATTAATCTAAAGCAATGATGATAAGAATCAAAACTTCAATGTTGCCCTACTAAGTCCAACATTGATCAAAATGTGTCAATATTTCAGTGATAACAATTTTAACAATTTTCCATTCCTCAAGCTTCAGTTCATATGCAACTAATTGTTTGAATCTTCCAATGTTCTACGTACCTCCTTGGAGAGTGTGATGATCTCAGGCAGGAAGTTGACCTTCAGCTTAAGGACGTTGCCTTTACCCGCCAGCCTGGATCTGGTGCTCTCTATGGCAAATATTCTCCCAGAGACACCAAGGTTCCTTTGTTGTACCTACAATTATCATCATTAAATCTCAATAACATTTTAGGATTACTTTTACAACAATACCTTCTTTCGTATAATTCATGTCAACTCAAGATTGACATCATTCATTCAGTGCATTATAGGCTCAGCTGTACATAAAATGATCTGAGATTGCATATCTTACAATTAGGGGTGAGACGAGTCGAAAAAATCTGATTCGAGTCGAATCCGATTCGAGTCAGAAAATGACGATTCGAGTTTCGAATCCGTTTCGAGTCAGATAAAGTGCGAACAACATCGCTTTTGACCGTTCGTATTTTTAATGCGTCAATGGTTGAAAGCCGGAAATATAAACAAACACAATTCGTCGTAAGTTTATTCTGATTTTATTACATATATTCTTTCATTTATGTGTACATACAATATAATAATTCAATACAAGCATATCCAAGTCATTGAAACTTATATATTCAACGCAATATCGAGTAAAAACATGCATATTGACAGTATTTTTCTGAATTTTTTTATTTTTTCGAATTTTTTTCTCAACTCGAAAATGATTCGATTCATCAACTTCGACTCGATTCGACTCGACTCGAAGCCCCAAACCCGCGAGTCCTCGACTCATCGGGTTGTCGTCTCACCCCTACTTACAATATATGGCTTTATATGAAAAAGTTAACTTCAGAATTTTTTCTCTATCCTTTGTCTGTGTTTATTTTTGACACTATTAGCATTCAGAAACCAGACACTTAAGTGTTAACTCTAATTTCACTCATGATTATCATTTATACTTTTTAAGAGGGTTAACTGCTGGAGTTTTTACCTTTCTTGCCCACTCATCAAACAGTTCCTGTGTGTTAAGCTTCAGTTTAAAGCTGTCCCCATCACTCTTCAGTCTCTGTCCTTCCACATGTTGTTCCCAGCCTTTGCCCAGAACATCCTCTACTCTGTGCATGTAGGCACTCAGCTGGCGCTCAATCTACAACAAGATACACAGTGATAAATAACACACTTAATATTCAAGTTAAACTTATGGATGGTCTTGCTATTTTGATGGCAAGATTTTTTTTGCCCATGCCCTTGTATATAATATTAAGATTTATTTATTTTGTGATTTAAAATCCTTGGTGACTCCCTGGAGGCAACACAAGGTCCATAAAAATACAATACATTATACTAGTATACATTTATTTGTTGTGTTATAATATCGTATTAGTGAAGGACCTATTAAATTGAACTTTAAGTATTGAACTATTCATAGAACTTACCTGTTTTGCCCATATAATAGAGCCTGATACAGGAGGTAGATCCCTCACTCTGCTCATTCTGCATGCCTTGCTTTGGCCATACTGAACCTGGAAAGATGAAACCAAAAACATAATAGGCAATTATATCTTATCTTCAGCCACGCAAACTCATTGCTGTATGCGATAAAATAGTGAGCAAGTTTCCACATGTGCTTGGAGGACTACATAAATGAAGAGCACGTTACCTTGAATTGCTCGTGAAGGGACTCAATCATGTGCTTGGAGGACTACATAAATCAAGAGCATGTTACCTTGAATTGCTCGTGAAGGGACTCAATCATGTGCTTGGAGGACTACATAAATCAAGAGCATGTTACCTTGAATTCCTCATGAAGGGACTCAATCATGTGCTTGGAGGACTATATAAATCAAGAGCACGTTACCTTGAATTGCTCGTGAAGGGACTCAATCATGTGCTTGGAGGACTACATAAATCAAGAGCACGTTACCTTGAATTGCTCGTGAAGGGACTCAATCATGTGCTTGGAGGACTACATAAATCAAGAGCATGTTACCTTTAATTGCTCGTGAAGGGACTCAATCATGTGCTTGGAGGACTACATAAATCAAGAGCACGTTACCTTGAATTGCTTGTGAGGGGACTCAATCATGTGTTTGGAGGACTACATAAATCAAGAGCATGTTACCTTGAATTGCTCGTGAGGGGACTCAATCATGTGCTTGGAGGACTACATAAATCAAGAGCAAGTTACCTTGAATTTCTCGTGAAGGGACTCAATGTCATCCTTGACTCTTTGTATCAGTTGGGTCTGGTATTCCCGAATAGCCCCACGAATATGTGGACGCACAAACAAGGCATTGAAACGTGAGAAAATGCGGAACATTTCATTGGCATTCTTTGCGGTCCCAAGTTGATCTCTCAGTCTCACTGTGATACGGGTCTCTACACGGTCTATCCTCTCTTCATATCTGGAATTACAGATTCATTATTATCATTGAACACAAGAAACAGGCCTTGAGCCAATAAGTGTCAATCAGGGACAGTTGGTTATATATACATGGTGGAATATAACATGACTGTAACATGACCATATTTCAATTTTGGCCCAAGGGTCCTTAAAAGACGAATAAATCTTCTCATCCAAACCAAATCAAAGCCATATTTTCATAACAACATGGCTTAACTGGAGCACTATCACAAAGTTTTAATATTAAATGACTACCTTTTGATGGCAGCTTCCCAGGAGTCAGTGCCCTCTTTAGACACATCAAGGCCATCTACTTCTTTAACATTCTCATAGGCTAAATTCACCTCCTATAAATGTGGAACAAATTCACTAATTGACTGAGTTAACATAAACCAATGTCAATGTTTTATTTCTAAAAGGATTTTAAAAATGTAAATCAGATGTGAAAATGTTGTCAAAAATTTTCTTTCAATTTTTATGATCTAAAAAATCCATGATGGCATCTTCAAAATGGACACGTCTACAAAGTGCACATTTGCAGACTAACTGTTCAAGTCAAGCATGAGTACACTACAATGACATTCTTATTTCTAAAAACCCCTAAATGTATTACTTGAAACTGTAGAAATCAAAATGTTACAGCAAACTCTTCTGGTAATGTAACCAGATGTGTACACAATTATACCTCAATGGCATTGACATCAGCTGCATCAAGAGCCATAGGTTCAGCCTTGGCATCTCCCTCATCTTCAGACCTTGTGGTTGTCGCTGGCCTTAAAACTCTCACTATCACTTGACGGAGCTGCTCATGCTGACGACGGAACCTAAAAACATACATAAAACAGATAAATATTGGAAAGATTGAAATGAAACCATCAAGGATTGAGATTAAAGAAACAGAATTCAGGGAATAAATCTCACATTAGCATATATCTTGTACTCCATACCTTTACATCATGCATGTTAAATTAAATTTTAATACCATGATTTTTTACAAAATGCTCATTTTTTATGATTACGAAATAGATTTGGATTGCAACTTACTTTCTCATCTGGTCGAGTCTGTTCTGTAGACGTTTATGTGCAGGGTTGACTCGCCAGACCATTTTGAGGTGTTCATCACGCTTCTTCTTGACAATATCCCTCAGTAACACTTGGAGCTTATCATACTCATCATCCCAAATACTGAATACATCAAAACAGGCATTCATAATGCGCTCAAATTCATCGAAGGGAATATGCATCAAACGCTGAGTTCCTAGAACCTGAAATGGAAATAAAACATATTATATATGAATTTTGTGATTTTATTCTATTAAGGGATATCAACTCTGAATTACTGAATGCTGATATTCAATTATTTAATTTTGACAAGATCTCAGAAATCCACTGAATACTGCATGAATGTACCAGAAGGAGAATTCTGATTGTAAATATTTTAAATCATAAAATCATTTCAATTAGCATTTGGAGTTTGGACATCAGCGTTGAGTTTTCCACACTTTAGATACAATGTAAATTTCATACACCTGTCAACAGATAAGATGAACACTAAACACAGGAACCGGAATCCTACCTTCAACATCTGAGAGCTTAGATCCCTAGAGATCGCCTCCACCAATCTGAGTGCTCTCTGTATGGGGTACTTGGTGCTTCTGATCTTCCTCAAGTGGTTGAAGATTGCCTGAAGTGCTGTTCGGATCTTGTCTAGTTCAGTAGCTGAGAGAAGGTCATTCAGGGGAAAGTCCTTCATCAATGGGTTGTAGTCATTCACAGTATCAAGGATCTGCCGAAGGCCTAAATATGAAAAATTGTCGGTATATGTATTCTGAGAAAAGTGTTCAAGGCCTAAACAGAAAGGAATGCAATATTTAAATGCAGTTGTAACACTGTAGATGTGTATGGCTTTGTGCTTTCTGTGTTTAATTCACCTATTTTGTTTGATTAAGTATCAATGACACATCTCCACCCATAACCTGATCAAAATAACCAATTCACTTAAACTATTCAGATTTTTACCTGTATCAGTGTCAAAGCTGACAGTGGCGTGGAACCTCTTTCCATGTTTCAGGATATCCAGGGTCAGAGCGATGTCAATACTTTCCCGTTTCTCCTGAATCCTCAGTAGGGCTCTCTCTAAGTTGAGCCAGAATGCAATCTCCTGCATGGCTGTTCCTGAGGCAGGGTCCCTATCTAACTTGGTCACCTGATAAACAAATGGTATTATAAGTCTATATGCTTCCAAAAGACTATTTTTCAAGAAGAGAAATAAGCATGAGCTATGAACAAAATTTTTTAATAAAAAACTATAGTTAATAGAATGCTACTAATGAAAACATTCTCAAACCATGTAAAAACTAAACTTAGTTATATAGCACACAAATTCTCATTTGTTCTTTATTATTTTGAAGCAAACTTTACTAGCCCTTAAATTGTATAGATATATTCAAGTTATTAATGCATAACAAATTAGATAATAACCAGTTCGAAAATGTAATCAATACTAGCTTATCAAATCAAAAATATTTCAATACATCAAAATTCAATACCATAAAGGATAAACCTAATCCCATCAGGTAAGCATTCATATTTACTGACCTTCTGAATTTCTCTTATCCAGCGATTAACACCACTTTGTAGTGCATTCAAGAAAGTTGCATCTTCAACTTTGTCATCAAAGTCTGAGGCTTTGGGTTTCCTTCCCTCTTCTGCACATTTCTTGATCATTGCACCAACAGTTGGGTGGACAGGCAGGGTGATCTCAGGGATGTCAATGTTCTGTTGAAGATGTAGTAATCCCATTTCAAGCTCTGCGATCTTTTTCTCAACTGAAGGTGCCATCTTGTCCCCTTCTCTACGATTACAAGAATCAAAAAATGTTTTTCAATATTTTTTGCCTCACAAATAATAAAATTCTTAGTTCTTAGTTCCTTAATTTACAGGCCTTTAGTTTATTTTCATCAATGATTTGAGCTGACTTCCTGATGTTCTGATTTGTGTTTTCATGTCAATTAAAGTACATGTTCTTACTTTACCTTTCAACTTTTCCTGTCTCCCTTATATATGATTTAAAGTAGGGAGCTACAGCACTGCTGACATATGTATGTAGGGTCTCATAGGGGGATCCATCAGGGAGGTTCATTACACACAGCTGGGAGGCCAGGCTCTTGTCTGCCTCTACTACAGGCACTCTCTTCACAACAACCAAACTACAAAAACAAAAAGATGGTTAACATGCGCAGAGACATTAATCTTTAAACGAATAAAAGCCATTATGATTGATAATTAATAGTGTTATGTCTCTTCATATATACAATGTTAAAAAGTGCAATAATTTGATTTAAAGAATACATTAGATTTACCTCAGCATTTTTGAGCTGGTGAAGTGTATATCAGCAGAGACATGATATGTAACACTTTCTGCTTCAGTCTCACCTCCTTCACTGACATCATCATCTGAAAAGAACAATTTTGCAATTTCAACTGGTGTTACTGGCGGTATAAGTGCCATCTATAGGCTTACACATAAATCAATGAGATTGTCTGTCTAAATGAATGAATGGAATTGAATCAACAGACATCATTTTGACCTTTTGTTGAATTACATGTACATCGGTATTATTTTCCCTTGTGACCATTTGTTTTAAAAAGAGATTCCAAATGAATCTGTGACAAATGTACTCATAATTTTCTTTATAATATGAGAATAAAGGTTGTCCCATGGACTGACACTCCACCTCCCTCTGTATGTCACATATCAATTCTTACATTGATCAAGTTCAAAATTAAATGCAAAATCATCTAGCAGTGCACACAAAGACACATTACTAGAGTCCATTTCACTGCTTCAGTTCGTCAGTAGAACGGCAAAAATAAGAAATTGGGAGACCATTGTGCAATAATATATGGAAAAGTATATTCATAATGTACATGAATGACATTTGTATATTTCAGATTTTTTAGTTTTTTGTGCAATAAGCCTGTGCCGTCTTGTAATTTGAAGAATTTCAGCCATGTTAATCTTATTGAAAATAACATGGCAGAGAAACATCCAAATATAAGAGGCCACACACTTTATAAGCCAAACTCGAAGCAATCCAAGATATACAAATGTCATTCATGTACATTATAAATATACTTTTCCATATATTATTGCACAATGGTCTCCCAATTTCTTATTTTTGCCGTTCTACTGACGAACTGAAGCAGTGAAATGGACTTTAGAGATGGAAATGAAGATTTATATAGAACAGAGTTCCTGAGATATTGTGGATACAAATGACCTCATGCTTCAATGTTTGGCATCATGCAGCCCTGCAATCACTAAACAGTCAAGTCAAGTTGATCATCTAACACATCAGATCTATTTTGAATTTCAAATGCAAAATGCACTTTGTAGTGAGATAAGATAAATCTAACCTTTGACTTTATTTTTGACATGTTGGATGATGATGAGTCATAATCTGAAAAAATCAATAGATCTAGAGCCAGACTAGAAAAGCACCCCTATACCTTTCACCACAGTTCTTTGTACAAGCAACCCAGGTACTTGAGGATCACTCAGGAACTTTTTCATTTGTTCTACGCATGGTTTTTCTTTCAAGGCATTGTAGAGACCCTGTGGAACATCGTCAGAATCTTCCAACAAAACCGGAACGACCCGTTTCAAATAGTTGCAAAAGGCTGTCGTATCTACGACGGTCTGCCCGGAGTTCCCTCCACTATCACCGTCGCCGGCGTCTGCCATAGCGTACTACGGCACCTGGACCAACTATCTGTTTTGAATTTACTTGAATTACTTAGTATTGGTGGAGAAATAGAACGAAATGAAGACTGAATTAACTTTTTCTTCCTCAAAATGGCAGTCTTCTACATCCGGGCTTTTGCTCGAATCTTTGTCTCTGATTTGCTATATTATTTTCGTAATCACTTATAAATCCCTACTCAGCAAGGTATGGCAATAATAAATTGAGTCATATAATCATTTGTCTATTATTTGATGAAATTATGATTTTTTTAGTACTAAAACAGCATTTTCTTTGAATACCAAACTAACCAAGTAGAGTACAGAGCTACTGACAACAAAGATTTCAAAAATTTCGAACTAACTCCACTTTAGCTTGTATTTTCTTCTACTAAGGTGAATATGAGACAAGAACTGAAGATGTGGCTTAAGATAGGATATTTGTGATGCCAGGAACTCATTTAAAGTAAGTACACGACTCCTTTTAACCATTGAAAATGTGTTATAATCTAACCCATTTTTTAAAACTTTTATTGACATCAACAATGTGCTGATAAGTGCCTTATTGGCTCTGAATCAACTAATTTGTGACTAAGCCTAGACTTGCTGCATCATTCCAGTCTAAATGTTAGAAGTTCAGAGAAAGTTCATCATAATTATAAATACCACCATGGAGTAAGATATGAACGAGCTGAAATACCTGCTATTTCATGATGAGGTATGTTTTGATGTAAATTTACTTTCGTTTTCTCTCTTTGTTTATAAAAACTAGGTCAGTAATCTCCACTTACTCCATTTCTGGGAAGTAAATTGGGATTGAATTGCTAGTATTTCAGAGAAGTTTGGTGTTCATGATTTTATACATGTACGTAATTATTCTAAGCCTGTTTATTCACTTTTGTACATTCAGGCACTTTAGAAGAGTTAGAAAGAGTTATTCATCATCAAATGCACCAGCTGTATTATAATTAAACTGAATATTCAACATATGCTTATTCAGCAATTCAAGTTATTGTTCAATATGGATAACGTGATAGTGGATATGATTGTACACTTCAAAGACAAGACATTTTTTCTTTATATTTATTCTTTAGTACATGTATAGCCTGAAAAGCCTCTAGGCTTGAAGCCTATATGTGATATATGTACACGATGATCAGTTTTCATTCTCATTATCTCAGAGACATAACCTGTATAATATATAAAAAAAGTTGATGTAGAGTTATTCAAAAAATCCTACAAAATCCATAGGCTAGAAGTTCATTTGAGAGGGACTGATTTACTCAAAATTGACCATTTGCTCCAAATGTTGAACATAGAATTTAATTAATCTTATTTTATGGTTCAAACATCTTTACAGCTCAGTTGGTTTTAAGTTAATAGGATATTGTCTTTTTGAAGTTCATTTACTCAAACTATAAGCTGCACTTGAATTGTACTATCATCATGTGAAGAATATGTCACATTTCACGGTGCTTTCCCAAGGATTTTGTATGTGGAGGATCTTCAGAACAGCATTTTAGGGATTTTGAAACTGTTGGTGCTAGGCCATTCTAGGTATAAAAGAATAAATCAGAGATGCCATCTTATTGAGTTTGGGAGAAGCCTTCCTACTCTGCTACTCCAAGCATTTTTGTTAAATTATCAGCTTAAGATTTAAATACTATGGATTAGGGCTGAAACAAGAAGTGAATTGTCAGTTCAAATATTCTACCAGCAAATTCAGGTTTGGCCCAAATTATTAACTTATGTAGAAATGTACGTATCTTAGAGTTCAGAGTTTATATTGCCATGTTATAAACAATTCATCTTGTACAGTGACTTTTTAGAGAAAGATGACTGTATCCTAATGTAGGGTAATGGTGGTTGAATTGAAGTTAGACAGATGAATGAAAGGACATGTATGTTGGGATATAATAGGATATCAGGATATTACACTTCTCCCCTCTTTAAAACCAGGATGTAAGGAACAATAATCTATATCTGGTATATTATACAAAACCTAATGACTCACCTCTGAGAAAAAAGCTATGTCTTAATCATAGTTAATATACTAATACTAATTATTCATTGTATCCTTTGATTTGTCAGAATTATTGCAGATAAGAATTAATTTTCTACATAGGTTTTCATTCAGGAAAAATGATACTAGTGAAGTATTGAACTATCATTGGTTATTCAAATTATAGATGTCGTGGATAAGTTTATGCAATAAACCAATCGTGTAAAATTGTATGATCCAGTCTTCGTTCTTTTTCTTGGAATTGAATCTTGGGATTAACAGAAGGAAAATGAGAAAGTAGCTCTATTATGAATGTAATCTTTCAGTTTTAATTTGACGCTAATCCATCATTTATTTTATTTATAATGAATCAGTCTTCGTAAAGAAATTCTCAGACGTTTTAGATGATGAGTTTTTATTGTATCTGATTCTGTATAGATTCAATCTCATTTTCTTTAGAATTTTGTATATTTGTGAAAATTTCTGTTTTAATAAATATTTTTATGCTTGACACATATTAAATGATAATAATCAAACTTAACAATGAAATTGATCCCCTAATATTCTATTAATTAATCAGATTTAGGGGAAGTTTTTGTATGGCTGCGATTTCATGTGACCCGAGTTAGCCACAACCTTTTCATGAAACTTGTAACTACCAACTGGCACCTTGGTAATTGCCATAACATTTGAAATAGCATTGAACTTATATGTGCTCTTAATTACTACAGTAAAGCCTTTTCATGTGAACATATATTTAATGCGAGCCCTTCAAAATAAATAACATTTTTTCATATGTAATTTTTCAATTTTAGAATGTTTACTGAAGTATGTTTATTCTGATCAAAACCTCTGAATCTGAACACCTCTCATTATGAACACTTTAAGCCAATCCAAGTGGTTTGCTTTAAAGAGGTTCTACTGTATACTACTGTATACATACTCAGGCCTGTCAACTTGGGAACACCTAACATGAGTGACTTGGAAATGTTGAACACCTCCCCTCAAAATGTGGACACCTTGGTCCAAATCTGAACACCTTGATCCAAAAATACGAAAAATTTCGAACGGAATGCGTGACATATCCGTCATACGCGTGAAAAGTCCGAACGAAATGCATACGTTTTTTTCCCGTCGTTCGTATTTTTGCTGTGTAGACGATCTTTTTTAGAAAATTTTCTCCAGAAAGATTTTTGCTTGACAATTACCAGGTAAAATGCGTATTTGCGTGACAATTTCTGTCACGCAAAAGTAACTGGCGTGACTTCAAATTCTTCAGCAAATGCGTGACAAATACGCAAATTGCGGGACAGTTGACAGGCCTGCATACTGACTATCTTTGTTAGGACTTCTGGGAACTAAAATCTAAATTAATTGAAGAGTTTCAGTTTCAGTACTTAATGGTCAGTATATAATAGGTTAACAGAGGTCAACATTTACATGCCAAGATACTATTGTAGGACCACTAATCTGAGTTGAATATTCATGGATGTCAGGTTTAAGGAATTATGATAACAAGTAATGAAATACTAGACATGTACAGGTAATGTAAAAGCAATCTAAATAATTCAGTATATCATAAACATGGACATTTCAGTATGTGTTAATTTTTTTTGTTTTTATGAAATTAATAAAAAATACTACAAAAGGCTGTAAGACACTCTGACACAGCTTTAATTTAATAAAATTCATAAAAATTACTATAACAGAATTATTTTGCTACCAAAAATCTGAAAACTTGTAATAATATGCCAGATGTACAGTACATCATTTATAATCCTTAATTATATATAATCGTGGCTTAATTAAATGGTGCATGTTGGTGGAGTTTGATGTAGCCAGGATATATGTGTATTAGATCCGGATATGTATGTGTATTAGATCAGGATATATGTGTATTAGATCAGTCATAGGGAAATATTCAAGGTGAGCCACTGAGCATAGTGTATTTAGTGGTGTAATATTGACTTATTGATAGGCAGTTTGCAGGAATAAACATATAGAATTCAAGGTGAGTTAGATATATTTGTTAATTATATCATAAATATTGGTCTTTACTTAATTTGTCTTGTCTTAAATTAACTCTGCATATTTTTAGTTTTTTCTGTATTGTAGTCAGATATGAATCTTGATCTGTTAGATCCAATATCACTTGATATTAAATCTGATGATTTTGATATCTAAAAATTTCTGACATAAAAATAATACTTGTCACGCAGTAAAAGTTTACATTTTTTAACAATACAATATACAGTAATAATACAATTCAATACCAAGTTATTCAGCAACAACTGATATGGAACAAAATCAATACCAGAAAATTCTGATTTTTTTGTCTGATGACGCTTAATACCTTGGCTAGACATACTCTGGAGGGGATTACTCAGATGTATAAGGCAGAATAAGCCTGGACAAATAAGCTTAATTGTCCTAGTGATAAAATGTCCCTGTCATTACTCAGCAAACTTGATTATGTGCTCTGTCATCACGAGAGATTAATACCAAGGTATACTCCCCCATAATTAACCAGGTGATATAATGATGTCACAAAACCATATGGGTGTCTCATATAATAGGAACATTTGGTTTTTACAGCACTGATTTGTGTTGGTATTTGACTCACATCATCCCCCTGTCAGTCCTGGTCATATCTGAACTTAAGTCGATGAACAGACATGTTCATCTCCTGATGAGTTATTGAGTTATTAAGAACAACTCTCGCAAACATCTTGAAATTGGAATACTTTTCAATTCTATTTTTTGACATCTCATCAACTCATATGTTAAGAGTCTTAAATCAATATAAACACTGGTTTGTCAAGCATTGTCTGCTTTAGACAGGTTTTACTGTAAACCAATCCCAGAATTCAGCAGGATGGACAAAGATGATAAGATGCTGACTCAACTTGTCCTAGGTCAAAATTGTGAAATCAAAAGAATGCTGGCTGTTGTAAATAACTGAGGTTGATGACTTCAGTGGTACATTAGCCAAAATTGATAGCCATCAAATGAATGAACAGATGGACATGGGTGCTTAGAGCAAGTACATGGATATGTCATTTGAATAGATACAACAGAAATAATGCATGATTTGAACTAGTAGATAGTTTCATATTAGAAGTAAATCTATGTTTGTACAGAACATTTATTT